GATTCCGGGCCGCTGGTTCCCCGCTGGATCGAAGAAGGGCCAGTCGAGAACGTCGGGGTCTCTAGGGGAACAAAAAGTGGCATAAACATAAAACTCGGAGGTCCGCTGTCGCGCTCCGCGTGCCAGGGAGGGGGGTCCAGCGCCAATCTGAGAAATCCGCGCGGACCTCCGAGTTTTTATGTTTATGCAGCTTTTTGTTACCCTGGTCTCTCGCCGGGCCCAGCTCCACACACAATCGGTCGCGGACCCCTTCCGGGGCCCATCCTGGCCCGTTTCAACCAGGCGGGCCCAGCCGTGGCAACGAGACGCTTAGAGCAGAGTCAGGAGGGGGAACAAAAACACACAGACACAGTCGATCGTCGCTTCCCCAGAGAAGGTGGGAAAATATGGGAAGTGGGGGGGGGAAGACAAACGCCCAGAACATATAGGAAAATATTGGGCATCCTGTTATTTTGTTGTGTGTGTGCGTGCGTTTGTTTGCGTGCCCCTGGGCCCCTTTTTATGGAAGGCCCCCCTCGAAACGCACCAGCGAGGGCCGCCGTGGTCTCGACGGGGCCCCCTGCCCAGGTCGGGGGCGAGGTTCTAGGCCGGGGCAGGACGCTCCAGCGCGGCCTGGAGCGGGGCCTGGCGTGGCATTACCATTCAAAGGCAGGAGTTTGTCAAGTGGGCGAAGCAGACCTGGATCAAGGCGCCAGGCGCACTACATCGCCACGTGAAGGAGAAGGCGGCGCCTGCAGTGGATGTGACCATCGGCATCGAGAGGCAGATCGCGGACCCTGACACGGCGATGGCGCACAAGTCGGAGTACTGGGCGGGCATATGGACCGACCCCGTTGACACCAGGCAGCAGCTAAAGGAACTCCTCCACCAGCTCTCGAAGGAGGCGTTTGAGGAGGAACTGCCTGACCTCACGTTGGAGAGCATTGACAGAGTGGTCAACAGGATGAGTGACGCGAAGGCCTTGGGTTTTGACTCCCTGGGACCTGGCACCATCCGACGCTTACCCGAGCCCGCCCGAGAGCAACTGCGCGGCCTCATCCAGTATGCGGAGGAGACTTGCGTGTGGCCGAGGCAGTGTTCAGTGACGAGATGTGCGTTAGCGGCGAAGCCCAAGGGAGGCGACAGAGCATTGGGAATGGTTACGGTGGTACCGAAGATTTGGAGCAAGGTGAGAGCTACGTTGAGTGAGTCCTGGTCCCAGGAGCTGACTGACCACTGGGACACGGCGCTGAGAGGGTCATCAGCGCTACGAGCTGGCTTGGTCAGAGCGTGTATGGACGAAGCTGGCACATCCTTGGGCTTCAGTTCACTCGCACTGTTATTAGACATCGAGAAGTTCTATGACTCGGTGTCTCTGGCCCAACTGATACGGATTGCGAGAAGGATGGGCTACCCAGCGGCCCTCATCTCCGTGGAGGTCCAGCAATGTTTGGCTCCGAGGTTCCTACAACAGAGTTCAGTGTTGAGCAGTGTGATTTTGCCGTCTCGTTCTCTGGTTGCTGGGTCCCCGAGGGGCGTGGGCCTGGCCAAACTGTTTTTGCACCCTGTTCTGGACGTGGTGCATAGGCGGTCGCCCGCTGCGGGACTCTGGTCGTTCGTTGACAACACGACGTCGAGGTGTGAAGGTAGCCGCGCCTCGGTTGGGCCCGCGATGATAACCACCGCCATGGACCTGAAGACAGGTCTGGAGGACCAGCGTATGGTCATCTCGTCTAAGACAGTCTTGCTCGGCTCGAATCCAAGCATCACCAGGAGAGTCGCGGGCCAGTTACGCGCTCGAGGACTACCTGTGTCGGCAGTCACGGAAGCGGTGGACCTGGGCCTGGACACATCGGCGGGGCGCAAGCGGTCTATACGGAAGTTGAGATCACGGATCAAAAGTGCGTGCAGGAGAGCAAGCAAGATACGCAGGCTTCGGAGGATTGGAGCCCTTTCAAAGATTGCACGGTCGCTATGGAGCATTGGAGCGGTACCCCAGGCACTAAATGGTCATCAAGTGGTGGGGCTGAGCAGACAAATGGTATTGTTGTTGCGACGACAGGCTGGGTTCATGATTGGTGGCGCTGCCAAGGGCCGCTGCCTTACTACGACTTTGGGATGTGACCCGTCGGTCCAGGACCCAGCAGTGTTTATCCCAATCCAAGTGATCAAGGAATGGATAACAACGTGGCAGAGGAACCCACACCCGCATGGACGAGTATGTGCGGCGTGGGGTGGTATTCGCGACCGACTACAACGATCTGGAGTGCGACGTTGGAGCTCGGTACGTGGACCGATCTCAGTATTGATAGCTACACTGCTGGACGTGGGATGGGGCCCAGTTGCGGCAACATCATGGTTACGAACTACGGAGTGTGACGACGACCCTGTGGACCAGTGGGATACCCCAACGGCTGGAGACCCAGGCTTCACTCCAACAGGCAGCTTCCAGGCACTCTTCGAGGACGCGGAGGCTGACATCCGAGGATACCTTTGGAGGGCAGCCACAAAACATATTGCTGGTCAAGACCTGGCAGGCGGCGCGGGCATGTATCAGCTTGTGAGAGAGCAGAAACGGTTGGAACGTACGAATCAGATGGAGCTGGTGGCAACCAACATCACCGTCGCATCCGCTGGCCAGTGGTATAAGGAGCGAATGGTGGAGGAGGTCTACCAGGTGGACCCTGCGTGCGCCCGTTGCGGGAAAAGCCCTGAGTCCCTCTTCCATCGCATTTGGCACTGCGAGAGGAATGTAGGCCATGAAGATTTTGAGCGCACGCAGTTTTTGGTCCCGCAAGCGCGTGCCCGACACGAATCCGAACCGAGTTTGTGGCTTCGGGGCCTCCCTCCCTCCTACCTTACCCACCCCCGCTTCGATGAGGAGGCGATCCGAGGATTGGAGGGGAGGTTTGGAGGCCCTGGAGATTTTGCGAGCTGCCGCCATGGCGAGGAACTCCACATTTTTGGAGATGGCTCAGGCGGCAAGCTTTCTGACGATCCCCGTAGGAGAAGGTGCGGAGCGGCGATCGCTGCGCTCCGACCGACAGGGGATGGTTTCGAGTTAGGTGCTGCGTTGTGTCGCCCGATATCTGGAGACAAACAGTCTGTTCCCAGGGCGGAGGTGTTTGTTTTCTCTATGGCGCTGTCGGAGGTCCCAGGTCCGCTCATTTTTGTGACCGACCATATGGCTATTTTCCGTTCGTGGAAGGACCGCCTGGAGGCCCCGCGTCCTGGAGGCCAAAATGAGGACCTGTGGACCGAGGCGCGAGCGTTGTGGGAAGCGAGGCCAGACACAGATAAGTTGAAGGTTGTCTGGACCCCATCCCATTTAGATGATAACCCGGAGCAGCTTGAGACCCCGCTCGAACTGTTCTACGCTTGCGGCAATATGACTGCTGACCAGTGGGCGGGGAGGGCTTCGGAGCTGGCGGGGGAGAGGGGGCTTCTCGCTGCAATGCCTGACACAGATCAGGTGGACGCGCTGGCGGCGTTGATCCGACGCCGTGCGCGTAGAGCGATGATCGATGCCTCTGCTGCCGAGCCCCGCGCCAGATCTTCCCGTCCTTTGGCAGTGCCTAGAATGGCTAAGCGTGGCAGAATCCTGGCGGCGTCGGCCCACCAACTGAGGAAGTGTGAGTCGAAGTGGGTGCGTTTGCGGTGTAACATGGTGGTGGCCGACGCTTTGTTTCAGAATTTTGCAGAGAGCCCGTGCGCCAGCGCATCCTCTTTGAGCGTGGAAGCCTGCCCGCTGGCCCCAGCGGCGGTCAGGCTGGCAGCGGCGGAGGTCCACGTCTCCCACCGACTGAGTTTTTTCCCCCGATGGTCCCTTTCGGTTTGCTGTACCTGCGGCAGGTACCACACGATCGACCCTCGGGGGTTGACGTACCGTTGTGAGGGACCTTCGGCGAAAGGAAAAGAGAATTTGAATCGGTTGAGTCAGGGGCGCTTTCCAAGATGTTCCTTGCAGTGCTCCCTCCCAGCCGCAGGCCTCTCCTCCCCCCACCCCTTCCAGACGAGAAGGCCCAGGCGGCGATGCTGCTGCGGGGAGGGCCCGCCATCGCGCGAGACCCCCGCAGCCCGGAGGTGTGTCTTCGGAGGGATCAGGCCTCCCTGTTGAATGGCCTCAAGGGCCGAGGACAGCGGTCCGCACTCAGCTAATCCAGCTAATCCTCCTCCTCCTCCTCCTCCTCCTCCTCCTCCTCCTCCTCCTCCTCCTCCTCCCGTCCCCGGGCCTGAGCGACGGGGGTCAGGGCAAACGTGGGTCGGCCAGAGCGCCAGATCCCTCCTCCTCCTCCTCCTCCTCCTCCTCGCTCCTGCTCCTGCTCCTTCCTGCTCCTCCTCCTCCTCCTCCTCCTCCTCCTCCTCCTCCTCCTCCTCCTCCTCCTCCTCCTCCTCCTCCTCCTCCTCCTCCTCCTCCTCCTCCTCCTCCCATCCCCGGGCCTAAGAGACGGGGGTCAGGGCAAACGGGGGTCAGCCAGGGCGCCGGATCCTGCAGGATCCTGCGAAGGCCCCCTCTGGTTGACCCGGGTCAGCGAGCCGCTCGTGGCCGCGAGGCGGCCGCACATATATTGGCTGACCCGGGTGTGCGAAGACCTGCGCTGCAGTTTTTTGCTCTTGCATCGCAGTTTTTTGGTTTCCCGCTGACCCGGGTTTGGATCGACCCCGGTCTGGAGATCCCCGACTTGAGCGCTGTCGGAGCGTTCCCGGAACGATGTGCACGACGGCCGCGGCGCCCGAGACTTTCTCCAAAGCCGCCAGATGTGAGAAGTAGCCGATTTGCCCCAGTCCGATTCGTTTCTGTCCTAGCCTGAAGTCGGGCCTGTCCCTCTACAGAAGGAATATTCAGAAATAGACATAAAATGTTCAGGTGACGTTTTTGCCTTTTTTAATATGTTTGAGCGTTTTTGGAGCACTTTGGGTGTATTTTCATTTTTTGCCCAAAATCCCCTGTAGGGGGACAGGCCCGACTTAATCCTATTCTCGTGCTATGTCTCTTCTGTTCTTGTGCATTCTCCCTCCAGGCCTCCCTGGCGGAGACGTGGGCGGAATACTACGGCGCTATGGAGAGGCTGGTCGGAGCAGCGCGTCAGAGACCCGCGCCCGCTGAGCCACGTTCCTGCGGAATGTTCCGGGCGGGAGCGGGTCATCTCTTGACGGGCTGGCGATTTTGGGGCCCGCACCCGCTCGGCAAGATTCCATGTGGTGTTTTTGAGCAGCGGCGGGCCTCAATCATATAAGCAATACATTGGAATGAGGAGCGTTTGGGGTTCAGGAGAGGGGCCCTGGTTTTGTGGGCCGTCCCTTGGAACCAGATTGGGAAACCGATTCGTGGTCGAGGTTCGCCGCGGCCAGGGAACAACAACAGGTGTTCGTTGTTTGTTCCGGCGTTCCGTATGGCACTACGATGAGTGCATTGCCGAAACCGAGCATCAGGATGGGTATGTTTCCCAAGGATGCCCTTGCATTCTTGCCTCGTCGGTCCATCCTCAACCCCTTTCGATGCTCGAAAGGCTTCGACATGGCCGTCCAAGGGGCTTGTACGCTGATCGCGCACCTTACTTTCGGCCTTGATCGAAGAACTCCGAGGCTGGTGGCCCTGCTCATGAGCCTGTTCGCGGTTGCCCTCGGGCTCTCGTGCGAGGCGTTCGACGCCGCGCTGGAGGGCCACCGTTCCTCGATGCGCGCGATCCTGTACCACGAGGCCCGGGGAGGGGGGGGACGGCGGTCTCCGGCAGCCGCGGCCCTCCTCGGCGGGCAAGACCTCTGCCCATATCCATTGCAGCCTGGAGCTTCGGGTTCTTCGTCCCCAGATCCCCGAGGCGCACTGGGCATGGAGACAGATATTGCCCTGAACTCGATGTCTTATCTTCATCCATTACTAGCCTCGAACGTGTCCCTATCCCTAAGATTGACACGCCAAAAGGCGATGACAATCTGAGGGACCCTCCTCCTCCTCATCCTCCTCTCCTCCTCCTCCTCCTCCTCCTCCTCCTCCTCCTCCTCCTCCTCCTCCTCCTCGATCCTCCTCCTCATCGGATTCTTCGTCCCCAGATCCCCGAGGCGCACCGGGCATGGAGACAGATCTTGCCCCGAACTCGATGTCGTATCTTCATCCATGCCCTTTGCGCCTCGGCCCTGCGGTGCCCCTTCGCAGAGAAGCCACGGCCCACTGGCTACGGATGCGCATCTTGCCCGCATTCCCCTGACGTCGCTCCGACATCCTGCGGGCGCCTGCGGGAGTCGAAGAGGAACACTGTCCGGCAGGGTCGTGGCGTGTCGGAGGAGGAGAGAGGGAGGAGGGAGGACGGAGGAGGAGGAGGAGGCAGGAGGGAGGAGGGAGGAGGCAGGAGGGAGGAGGGAGGAGGAGGGCCGAATGACTCGCGTGGTGGCAGAAAACCAACGCGCAAGCCCGCACGGCGCGAAGCCGCCGCAGATCTCAACTTTCGGGGACCCCCGCGGATTTCTTGGAGCGGCGTCGGGAACCTCTGGCGGCGCCGGAGGCGCTTCGCGCGCCACGGAAGGAAGCCCAGTGGCGACCCGAGCAAATCGCGCGTACCTCCAAGTTCGGGGGTGGACAGAACCCCTATCAGTGACAGGTCGATTAGCGAATTGTCCGTTTGCGGTTCTCGAGAGGGCGCCGCGGCCGTTGTTTTCCAGGCTTGCGCCCGCCAGGTTTGGGCCTCAGGTCGTTTTCTCTAAACCACGTTTTGCTAAAGGGGGGTCTGTCCATCCCCGATAAGAGTACCTTCCTGCAGCTGTTGGGCGCCTTTCCTCCTGGAGGCTCTTTCTGGTCGCCACGGCCGGATCCACTTCGGGAAGCGAGTCACGAGATGGAACCTGGGAGGGGTCGGGGACCCGACTTGTTGAACGGGCTGGGTCCGGGAGGAGGAGCCGCCATTGCTCGGACGGGGTCGGGGCGAGGACAGAGCCGCTCCAGAGCGTGCCGGGACGCTCGCGGGACGTTCCCGAGCGCTCCGAGGAGGCCGCGGCGCCGGAGATGTCCTTTGGAGCCGCCAGATCTTTCGGCGATTGCAATGGGTGCGGTTACGCCGGGGTGCGGTTTGCGAGTTGCTTTGTGGCGGCCTGTCCTGGGCCTTTGTGAGAGACAATATGTCATAATTGTTGTCGTTTCGAGCGACGCTGTCATCCTCGATGTGTGCTCCACTGTATTAGAAGGAGCGACAGAGTCATGTGATTCGGTCAGATATGACTGGAGGCAAACCGCACCCTTCGCAAACCGCACCCATTGTAGTCGCCGAATCTTAGAGATTCCCGATGCCATCCTCACTCGATGTTTCACCGAGCGCGTTCCACTACTCGCAAAGCGCCTCCTCGCAAACGTCCGGAAGAATTCATGGCTTCTTTGATGTAATGGAGCGCATAAATCCCCCGCGGCGGCTTCGGGCCACTTGCGAGCAGCTACTCTGCGAGTAGTGGAACGCGCTCGTCGAATGATAGCCTCGTCCTGGCCTTATGTCGGGCCTGTCCCCCTACAGGGGTAACTTCGACGAGAAATGAACAGTACCCGAAGAATACCCCCCAAAAGGTCAAAAGGCATTCAAAAAATAGCCCGCCAGACTATGTTTAGACTATTTTCTGATTATATGTGTGTGGGTTATGTTTTAAACTTTGGTCGACAATTCCCCCTGGAGGGGGACAGGCCCGACTCAGCCCTGGCCTCCTCCTGGTCGTCGCAGTTTGGCCCTCCTCCGAGAGGTGTCCGCGGAGGAGCTCGAGGCGGCGGCCCCGGCCGCGGGGGGGGGGGCGGGCGCGGGCGGGAGGCGCGCGCCGGCCCCGGAGGTGTTCGGCGTGCGGTTTTCCTCCCTTCTGCGGGGCTCCTCGCGGCGCTGCGCCGTGAGTTCGTCCAGAGGGGAGAAAAAAATGCCCCGCGACACCATCGAAAGTCGTCGCTGCCCCAGAAAGAGTGTGGGAAAACGTGGGAAGTGTGGGGGGGGAGGGAGGAAGAAACCCAGAAAAAAAAGCGGGAAATGATGGGGGAGTCTTGTTTTGTGTGTGTATTTGTATCTGCGTGTCCCAGGGCCCCTTCGAGGTCGGCCGTCCAGGAGCGCCACGGGGCGGCGGCCAAGTGCGAGCCCGACCTCCGCCAACCCAGGAGTTCTGCGAGCCTCGTCACCCATCGGGGATGGACAGACCTCCTACCCTCCTCCTCCTTCTCTTCCTCCTCCTCGTCCTCCTCCTCGTCCTCCTCCTCCTCCTCCTCCTCCCCCTCCTCCCCCTCCTCCTCCTCTCCTCCCCCTCCTCCTCCTCCTCCTCCTTCTCCTCCTCCCCCCCTGGCCTTCTGAGAAGTGTTCGTTGCCTTTTTGTTCGGGACTGGATAGACCTCCTACTCTGACTCGTCGATTAAGGAATTGGCCGCTTTCGGTTCGCGAGAGGGCGTTCGCGGCCGTCATTTTTTCGGGTCCAGGTCCGTCGGTTTCGGTCCCAGGTCGTTTTCACGAAGGGGAGGTCTACCGAAGGGAGGTTTGTCCACCGCCGAAACAATAGGCTGAGACGCCATTCGAAATCGAAGCGCCCGATAGTTCGGGCACTTCTCAGAGGGCGCGCTCGTCAATGCTGCGAGGGTGCTGCCGGAAATCTGACACCCCTGCGTGTGGGCCAAGCACTTCATGCCAGCGTTGAAGTGCAAGGGCGCCCTCGAGGACGCGAAGTTATTCGCGCTTCGCGGTTCGGCTCCGATTCCTCCTCATCCTCCTCTTCTCTCCTGGGAGGCGGCGCGCGAGCGCGAAGTTATGCGCACTTCGCGTTTCGCGCAGCGCGAAGCGCGAAGTTGGGAGCCCTTGGAAGTAGCGCCGACCGCGCAGACGCCGAAAACGAAAACCTTCAATCTGTGGTTGGCGAGTCTCGTTGTAAGGGGGGAGGAGGGAGCACTTCGCTCGGGAGCTCCCGAGCAGAGTGAAGCCCTATTCCTCACCCCCTTAGAACTTGTGCGGATGGGGAGGTAAGGCCAGGTTTGCATGTGGGCACCTCAGGAGGGAAAAACACACACAGACACAATTCATCGCTGACTCCCTGGAAAAATATGGGCAGTGGGGGGGGAGTCAGAAACCCAGAACATATGGAAACAAATGGGGAATCCTTTTATCTGTGTGTATGCTGTGTGTGAATCCCCCTACTTTCCTCCTATCTTGCTCATATCCATCGCCCCTCTTGGCTCGGATGACAGGTACTCGATAGTTAGAGGTACGTTGGGTAAAACCATCGTCCCTCATCGTCTACCGACGGAACACTCGGGGTGGGGTCGGTCCATTGGTCCTCCTCACCCTCACACAGGTTATCAGCCTTCTCTTTTATATCCGACATCGCGTCCAACCTGCGACCCGACCTGTCGACATCGGACTCGTTATGCAGGATGACGGCACGACACCAGTCGTCCGTCGGACCCTGCATGATGAGTCGTCGCCGTCAGTCGTGCGCAACTTGGATGCTGATATGTCCGATATTCTAGGAGCTTCCCCCAATTTTGCGGCCCGCATGGCCATCTCTCCAGGAACCGACGGATTGGACGAAGCTATGCCCCCACCCAGTGCAGCGCAGTCAATGCAGCGGGAAACCGCAGCAATGCCAGCGTTGCCCACCCAGGCGGCAGTTCAGCTTCATGCTATGCAAGCTCAGTTGCACCAGCTTCGTGCCTTGCATGCTCATAGCGTTTCCGAACCCCCACTTCCTATTGGAGATCAGCCCTCCCTACAGCAGCGATTCTTACACGCCGCTCCAGGGCTCACGCCTCAATTCCCCACCCTTCATACCACATCTGACGTCCCTCCCGCAGCACTGCACCAGTCAGCGCGGCGGGAAACCGCAGCCCCGCCACAAACAGCGCAGCGGGCCACCGCAGCACCGTCCCAGACAGTGCAGCGGGACACCGCAGCTCAACAGATGCCCACACCTTCCTCCCCTCCGAGAGAGAGAGGTACAGGCACACGAAGGTGGGGCCATGGGACGCCCGTACAAACAGGGATTGAACAGGGACAGGTTTATGAGCGAGTCCGTGAATTCGAAAACCGTACTTTTGACCATGGCCCTAGTCGCCGTGCTCATTCTAGGAGCCAAGCCCCCAGGCGTGGCCCCGAACAGTACATCATTCGAGACGATCGCGGCAGTAGGAGTCCATCTATCCGGGGGGTTCGTATTAGGCCCCAAAGTTCCCCAGCCGCAAACCGACATAGGGAGGCTCTGCCAATGCAAGACATGGCTGAGCTACGAGATCACGTGCACACATACGTTGAATATCAAACTAGCCTCGTCCACAAGGCTGTCGCCTCTGATACCGCCGTCCTCCGGAGTGACCTCCAACAGGGTCTTTCGATCCTGGACGCTGCCGTCCAGGAGGACCGTCGGGTCATGCAACAGCTGATGCAGCGTCTCGATATACAACGAGATCGCGAGAATAACGAACTTGTGGCCGTCAAGTCCGACTTCGATCGACTTGAAGCTAGCGTCATTCAGATTCGTCAAAACAACGATGAACGTGCACGCATTCTTCGCGAAGAGCTGCGAGAAGTCGCGGGCACAGCTTCAGGTGCCTTCGTAGCGCCTTCCACCGCACTACAAGGTCATATTGCCACGATCCGTGGTGAAACGGAAGCTGCAGCACGTGAGCTGCACGATCATACACGCTCCGTCCAGCAAGATTTGTATGGCAAGTTATGTGAGGCCGAGAACGCTTTCCAAGCTCAACTCTCTTCCTGTCAGGTTCAACATGTACCACAGCTTCTATCCAGAGTCCACACTCTCGAGCAGACCGTAGCTGAGCTGCAGGTCGCACGGGCTCATACTGCGCAGGTGAGTCCCACTGCTACGGTGACCAACCCCGACGTGACGGCAGCTGTTTTACAGACCGTCCGCGCGGAGGTGGCCCACTTGCAAAGGCAGCTGCAGGATTCTGTGGCCGAGAGGGATGCCGAGTCAGCACGCGCGACTGCGCGCCTGGATCACATGAACGCTGAGATGGCTCGTCTTGCTAACGAGAATGTTGACCTGCGTACTCTTATCGTCAATCATACTACCCACAATAAGGATGACGTTCGATTCCTCACAGACACTCAGAAACATCAACACGCTGAATTGGATGTATTGTCTGATTGTGTCGCAAAACTGCAGGCAGACAACACCACGCTTGAGCAAACAATACACGATCACATCGCGGACGCAGCCAAACATACACCTGTTACCGGCTCTCGCCGCCCCTCCCCTGACGCCGCTGCTCGCGATGCGGGGGGTTCTACTGGGGCCGCTTCCAAGCCGACACTTCCTCAGGCAGGAACTGATGCTGACGAGCAGCGGGGAACCGCAGCCCAGCCCCCTGCCCCTGAGCCAGCTGCAGACAATGCCAGCTTTCGAACACACTCTCCCATTAATCTAGGTCCACTCGGCTCCAACGTTGCGCAATCCCCGTACAATGTTGGCGGGTCACTACTACCTGCCACAGTCAAAGAAAGTGACCGTGTTCGGGTCCCAGGCTTCCCTAAGATCACAGGAGTCTCCGATTGGATGAACGGTGTCCGCAAGGGTTTCAGAAACGCCTCTGGACGCCCAGCTCAGGCGTACGCCTTCATCATGGTAGCGGAGAACCCTGAGATGACTTTTGAGGATCTCGCCGACAGCGGCGACTTTGAGAGCCTCGACTGTAAGTTAGCTGACGCTCTTCTCGAGATCCTCCCACATGAGCTAAGATTGCAAATGAAGCTGTTAGAGGACGTCGAACACAAAGCAAAGCGCATGCTTAAAGGACGTCAGGTATATCAGAAGATTATCCGTTCATTCGACGTCACGGTTGCCGAGGACCACCTTCACGACTTTGATCGCATCAAGAATCTACGCATGCACGGAGACGATCTCCAGCGTTTCATCGTCGAATGGGATCGATTACTTTTGGCTCTTAACAAACTACCCGAGATGTACATCATGGAATCCCTCTTTCGTACTCAGGTTCAGAGACACCCTTGGATGAAAGAAGACATGAGCAAATACAACAAAGCCAAGGCTGGAGCCAAAGATGAGAACGGAGAGGTAATCAAGACATATAAGTGGCTCCATCAAAGAGTTTACGATGTTCTTGATTTACATAAGCTACAGAAGAATCAATATAGCATGCAAAAAGAATCGCGGGACACCGTTGCCCCTGCCAAGACTAAGACCAAACAATCAAGCCGCAACTCACATTGCGTCCCTTTCTTCAAGGGCAAAGGGTGTCCCCGTCCAGATACATGTAAGTTCTTGCACGCTGCTGAAAAGAAACCGCCGCCCAGACGCCACCCGTCGTCTCGTGATCCTCCCAGGAATCGCCAATCATCTCAACATCGTAGAGACGCTCGAGGCAGCGCCTCTGGCGCGGCTACTTCGAGGCCTCCGGCTGCCAGGTATTTTTGCTACGATTTTGCAAAGGGTAATATGTGTCAGCGCACTGGTTGCAACCGGCACCACGTGCATCCTTGCGTCTTCTACCAAAAGGGTAGTTGCACCAACGGGGATAATTGCAAATTTGCCCACTATAAAAATGGCTTCAAGACGCCGCCTCGCAGCCCCAGCAGGCCCAGAAGCGAACAGAGGTTCCCCTCCCGAAGCCCAGGTGGTAGACGCTGGTCGCAGAGATCACGATCCTTCACCAGGAGTCCGGGAGGCAGGGCTTACTCCAGGAGTCCGGGGGGCACCCGTCATTTCTCAACGAACACTCGACAGCCCTCCAAGAGCCCAGGCGGCACTCGCTGGTCCCAGAAGGACTCGCGATCGCCGTCTCGTTCGTCTCAGCGGCAAGGCCGATCACGTAGTCCCGGCGGTACAAGATGGTCTCAGAGAGATTCACGATCTGGCTCCCGTTCCAGTCGGACATCGCAGTCCAGCCAACGACTGCGCTCTCCCGCTCGGAACACCAACCGAGTGTACGTGATACGTGAGAAGATCCTCGCAGTTTCACCTACACATGGTATCTCAGAGGCCCAGATTCTCAAGACCAAACCGCCTGCGACGACATCGACGCCGAAACTAAAGGTTCGCTGGAACCTTGCAGGTACCGATGTCGATTTTTTCACGGTTCGGCGTAAGATGAGACCGTATCGTGAGTCACCAAACAAAGGCGATGCTGTCCACGTTCCAGACCCAATACCCGATTGGTGGTGGATCCGTTCTCAGGCACATCTGATACGCGCCCAGGAGAACGCATTCGCCCTCATGCGGAGGCTGGACGATAACGAGGACATCCACTTCGACTATTGCTACGTCGCAATCCCACAGGAGGACGTGCTGCTCCACACATATGCTACGGCGCAGCAGGCAACTGCAGCACCAGCGCAGCAGGCAACTGCAGCACCAGCGCAGCAGGAAACTGCAGCTTCGTCGCGGCAGGAAACTGCAGCCAGCGTCCCTCCAACAAAGGATACGGTGGCAATATCGCGTTCTTTCGTCCTTGATAGCGGTTCGGCATTACATATTTCCGATAAATCCGACATGACAGAATCCGAGAAAAAGGGCATTCGCATTGGACGAGAACACATTTTGGAAACCGCCAATGGCGAGAGAATCGTCAACCAACATGTACGTGTCAACATCCCAGCACTCGGCATCGAGAAAGACACCCTGGTCATGGATAATTGCCCGTCCGTTTGGTCCATGGGTCGTCTTGTCGAGGAAGACGATTGGGATATACATTGGAACAGAAGAATCGGATGCGTACTAACACCCCCACAAGGTCAGCCTAAACAGGCTGTGGTACATAACTTTATCCCACAGATCAATATCGACCACATGCACGATGCTCCGCCACCTCCGCCGACCCCCTTGCATTCCGCGAGGCGACACACGAAGGAATGCCCGCGCCGACGCGTCAGGACATCATGTTGCGGAGTGATCCTGCCACAGTGGAAAAGCATGTCTCACAGGGACTGCGGTCGTGGTCGTTTTCAGACTTTTCCCATCGACCCCGCAGAGGAGACCCCCACTAAAGGCCCATGCTGGTGTTACACCCTCGAGGTTCTAAACAAACCCTCGTGCAGCGGTGACCCGCAGCAAGGCCCTGATAGTGCTCTCCCTGTCGGCGAGAGACCGAGCATTGACCCCAGTCATTACTTGACTCATTCTCCCAAACACCCAGATTGTGAGATATGCGCTCGAGCTTTGATTCGCAATAAGCCTTGCAAAAGAAAACATAAGATGCGTTCAGATCTCGAGAAAAACGAAGATGATTCTACTTATGAAGCGTTCGTACCGAAGAGATTTGGAGATTCCTTGACAGCAGATCATATCATTATTGGAGATGATGAGGCCACTGGCAGGCAGACGGAAAGGTGCGCTCTTGTTGTCCTAGACAAGCACACCGGCATCATGATGGCCTATCCAGCATTGCACAAGGATGCCGAAACCACCAAACTTAGTCTGATGAAATTTGTCGCCCCAAATGATGAGGTTAAACACATTTATAACGACAATTCCAAAGAACTCATCAAAGCATGTGCCACACTTGGCTGGCGACATGACACCAGCACGCCACACCGCCCTCAGACTAACGGGACTGTAGAGCGTGCTGTGCAGCGCGTGGTCAAAGGCACAAAGGCTGTCCTCATGGCTTCTGGCCTGGGACACGAATGGTGGTGCGAGGCTATGCAATGTTTCTGCAATGCCACCAACTTCTCTCTGTCTACCACCGGTGCCGCATCTTCTGACCCAAATAAGGCGGAACTTACGCCATATGAAATTCGCTTCGGAGAGTCATTCAATGGACGCACAGTACCCTTTGGTTCCAAAGTATATTGGAAATGCCTGTACCCGGAACTCAACACAGATAGTGATGGCAAGAAATTCACAAAGACAACACGCGAGGGATTGTTCATGGGTTACCATATGCATGCAGGCGGACGATGGTCAGGAGACTACCTAGTCGTCGACACCGCCACATATGCCAAATACCCAGACAGCACCCATTGTCACGTTCATCGTGTCAAAGACATTGTCGTACCAGCTAAACTTGAGTTCCCGGTCGCTGACGGCGTTCTTACTCATCATAACCCGCCCATGCACGAGTCCATTGCAGATGAGGCCAAAATACCTCTCGGCGACTGCTTGGACCCCATGCGCGACGATGACCCACGACTCGACAACTACCCTGCGGACTGGGACGACCCTGCTCATACGCCGATGCAGGGGGAAACCCCAGCCGTCGCAGAGGCAGAATTACCAACCGCCCCTGCGGCAACTCCAGATTATTGGGAAAAACGTGATGCTACGATTATTCGTCACATATGTACCCCACGTTTACAGTTGTTTATCCCTACGGACGCCCCCGAAGGGCTACCGGTACCATTGGAAAAGTTTGATGTAATTCGTGAATTCGAGACAACATCGACATTCCAGGGACAGGATAAGTTTAGAGACACATGGGATGGAGTCAGTGAGAGCGATCATCGAGCCCTGGGAGAACCCTGGACAGGCACCGTGCGATTTTACTATGCTCCAGAATATACTTCCGATGGCAAAGTTAAATCAATGGGACGTGATACCAAAATACAGAAAACTACCAGGCCCGATCACTGCCTCGTTGAGTACTGGAAGTGCCTTTCTGGTCGCCAGCGCTATCGCGAACGTGCATACGGCAAGCTGGTCTCCCAAGCTCGTGCTCGCCGACATGAAGCGACTCTGAAGACCTGGTCTCGTCAGGATGACAACGCCAAAACACTTAGAACAACACGCTCGGATGGACCGAAATGGGACCGTGTCGAGCGTCGACTCACTCTTGACACGCACACCGGAGACACGATCCGAGACGAACAAGTCAAGGGCGTCACAGACAAAACTATTTTGTACGCCCCTGTCCCTGGTGGCCCCCGAGACATTACTACGGTGCTGTATTATTTACCTGATAATGAGCACCGGGAAACCAGTGCATCGTCATCATCGCCGGCTAGAGCTGCAGTGGCGATCGCATCCCCGACAAACATTGAACACGATGGTCCATCATTCGGTGCTTTGAATCCACTTTGTCTTACACTGAAACCGACCTTCGCGCAGTTTGTCCGGCAGAGAGAGGTTTCTGGTTTCGTTGATGCTCCTATCATGGCCGTCCTTCCCAAAGACACACCTGATCAGCCACATCGTGAGCGCCACGAAACTACCTCATATGCACTGGTGACCCAGAGCCTCAACAAAAAGCAAATAGCAGCAGAACCACGCGCTCAGGCCGCTCTCCGTGGAGAATATGATCGCCTTCGCGCACAGACCACATGGATGGAAGACACCGTCGCTGAACGCGCCGACGTCAAAGCGCAGGCCATTAAGGAGGGCAAGGACATTCATTTCGCGCATTTACTCGAACTCGGTACTGTGAAGCATTCCGAACTCCCACCTGAACAGCGCAAATACAAAGGTCGCGTTGTCTGCCAGGGAAATACTATGAAAGATCAAACAGGCCTGGCAGCGGTTTTCGCTGATGCCGCATCTAGCGCATCACATATTGAGGCGTCAAAGCTCGTTGATGCTGTCGCACACATGCCCGGTTACAATGGTGGCCAGAGTGATGCCCCATCAGCATACACGCAGGCGCTGTTGTACGGTGACGGCAGAATTGACCCAGTCGATACGTGGATCAGCCTCCCACCGGCACGTCGACCAGCATCATGGGCTAAATACAAAGACCCAGTGTGCCGACTTCGTTTAGCTCTCTACGGTCACCCTCTTGCTGGCGTCTTTTGGGAGAGACACTGCAAGACATGCCTTGAGAGCAAAGGATTCGTTCCTATGCAAGGATGGGAATGCATTTGGACTCACCCCAAACTTGGATTGGTGCTTTCTGTCTACGTCGATGACTTCAAGCTGGCCGGCCCAAAAGACAACCTCGAAGCTGGCTGGAACCTCATCCGGGACAGCGGCATCAAGATCGATTCGCCCACCAAACTTGATCAATATCTCGGTTGCGGACAGGCTCCATATACAGTATCAGACATCGAATTCAACAAACGTATGGAGACCATTCGTCCTCTACTGCCTCAAGCGCAGCGGGACACCGCAGCCTACAAAACTGCCAAAGATGTCCGTGGCGTTCGATATAACATGAGCGGGTATATTGACCAATGTATCGATCGCTACCTTGAGGTTGCTGCTACCATTCCAGACAATCCGAAAATGAAATTCCGAGACCTACCTGTCTCCGAAACCCCTGGGATCGAGGACTCCGCCTTCACAGAAGCTGATTTTGACGACAAAGGCGTCCTCGGCCCAGAGTCGGCTAGCATTCTAATGAAAATTTTATATCTTGCAAGATGCTGTCGCTTTGATTTATTACATCCAGTCTGCATGTTGGCACGCGAGATTACCAAATGGAATCGAGCCTGCGACAAACGTCTGCATCGTCTTGTATGCTACATCAAGCACACCAAGACGCATAGCTTGCAGGGTTTCATCGGTGACTCCGCCGACCAACTTTCCGTCATACTGTTTACAGACGCTTCCTATGCAGATTGTGTTTCTACGTCAAAGTCCACGACAGGCATCTTTGCCGCCATTGTGGGCCCCAACACTTTCTTCCCGATCAACGCCGTGTGTAAGAAACAAACCGTGGTTTCGCATTCCTCTACGGAATCCGAAATCGTCGCGTTGGACACGGCGCTCCGGGTTGAAGGCCTCCCCCTGCTTACCTTTTGGGAACACGTTGTACGCACGCACAAGGCCCGCGACAAAGTTGCCGCCGCCTCTCGCAAACAGCGTAAGCCACCAACGTATAAGAAGCAGGGGGAAACCCCAGCCCCTGGCACTTACGACTCTCCTCGATCCACCCTGACAACATTCGGCGAACATCCTCTACATGATCATCGCAAAGTTTCTTCTGATAAGAGCCCCCCGCAGGTACAGCTTATCATAGCCGAGGACAACGAGGCTGTTATCAAAATAGTGAAGAAAGGTAGGACGGCCGCATTGCGGCACCTCCATCGCACGCATAGAATCAACTTGGATTGGATCGTGGAAGTCTGTCAACATGAACAAATACATTTGTCACACGTAGGTACTAAGGAACAAGTTGCGGACATGATGACACAACATTTCGACTCCAAAAAGAGTAATGTTTGGGAAACACTTCTCGAGCTTGCGCTCATTCGTCCTCCGCCACCACTGCCTAAGGGCATGCGTCGACATACTTCGACGGAGGACGAGGGGACTCGCAGACCCAACGGTCTACCGCACTCCGCCGAACCCCCAAAACCTCCAGGATGTTTGGGCTTCTGTGAAGTTGCTCTCACTTCCAAGGACCCCTGGGGCGAGGTTGGATCAGCATGTGGTAAGAGATGTGTTGGTTGCCCTAATCACGAGGGTTTGCACTCATGTGGACATCATCACGGCATCACAGCCGGGTCCAACGCTTCGCGTTCGGCACGGCCCAAGTCCCCGCGACAACGCCGTAAGTCTCCTCAGAAGAGTCCGACCCGGGCTAAGTACCCCAGTGTCATTGATGGACAATATGACAGAGAGTTGCATACGAGCACGTCACGATTACGTGTTCCCTCTAGAGGAGACTCCACTAGGCGTAAGGTAGCTACAGGTCACCACTTTCCAACATCGTCTTCCCCTGGTTCATCCTCTTCTTCACCATTACGCACTCTTGTCATACGAGACGTTATGCATAATCGCAGCGATTCTTCTCAAGTGGAGGAAACTCCGGCCGCCCCGCCCGGCCTCGGCGCGGTAGGCGGCTCAAACACACAGTTGCGGGATCGGTCTCGTTCCCCCCCCAGCAGCATGCAGCGGGGCACTGCATCGAGCTCAGGGGGTAACCCTGGAGCTCCACGCGGAGGGCAACCCCCGCTAGAGGGCGGCGAAGACCAGGACGCTGATATGGTCGACATCACGGAAGGTACACCACGTTTCAATCGTGCCTTTCCGATGATCCAGCGCCCAGCCTGCACTCTTCCTCCAGATGGACCAATCATTCGACCCACTGTTGGAGCTGCGTTCGATACCCAGCTACCGTGGGCAGGCCCTAATAAGTTCCCGATAGCTTTTAATCAGGCACCCGAGGGCTCTGGCGTTTGCTTCCTTGAATGCTCACGCAAAGACCTTCGTAATGCCGTTGAGATGGATGTTGAGATTTCGATGCAAAATTTGTTGCAGGAGACGACACTCCCTTGGGTCTCATTCTTTGCTGTTCTGCACTCGTACGTAGCCAAGGCTTGCCTTGACCAGGACATGAATGACCAATTGGAGAGCATCGTTCAACACTTCAACTGGCTTCGCACCGAGGCGCTCGGCAGCGCAGCGGGAGACCGCAGCATAGCAGCGGGAGACCGCAGCGAGCCACCGTTGATGCCATCTCTTGAGTGCCTTTCACACGCCGCCACGTCCTTGTGGAAAGGACTCCAAGGTGCATGGCCTATAGTTGGATCCACCGCCATTGGTGGATGGGTGAGCTCTTCTCTTGACGACACATATAACATGTACAAAAAGGAGCATCGCCCATTAGGTCTAAACAGCCTTGACACGCCTAATTACGGATACAATTTTGGTGTCCAGCGGTCCTCTTCTGGATTGACACACGGAAGAGCCCTTCCACACAAGAGCGACTGCGCAGGTTCGGTTGGCTCGTTCGTGGAAAACAGCTACAACTCGTTCATCGACATCCCCGCTCGAGACCTCAATAGTGACATGAAAACGGCTTCGCCTAAACACCATGTCCAGTACATAGGAGGGGGTAGTTGTCGTTTGGACCCGCCGTGTGGATCTGGGGGCCACTTGTCTCCCCCCATTGCCATCGCTAGCCTCACCGACACAGGTAGCCATCGATACGCAGCGGGAAACCGCAGCGGTGATGATCCCTGGCGTGAGGAACTTGAGGCGAACGAAAGTCCCGTTCGTACTAGCGGTTGGGCCCCGGGACACCAAAGGCGAAACATTTTTGGATGCCCATCACACAATAACCAACAGAACGACAATAAGATTTCCGACCCTTTGTTGGTTTGTGCCGACTCTACATCCCGCGGTGACAGTACCAACGATTTTATTGACTCTGATCACGCTAAGCATCACACGTGGACGAACGCTTCCGTGGTCAAATGCTTCGCGGACGAGAATGGATGGATGCAGCTTGCCACAGAGGATCTTGGATTATCCATTAACCATGCCTTTGGCCCTACAGGCACTGCTACCCCATTCTTCTACATCTTCACCGACTCGGGACCTATGATGGGAAAAGCCAGCAAGAATTACCATACGCCTGAAGAGGCCATCAATATGCTGTGCAGTTATGATTGTATTCGCCAAGTTGGACAACCCTTCTCAACGCTACTCGTCCCAACCCCAGTGCATCAAGAGTACATGGGAGGAGCCACTCTCGCTGTTCTAGCATCCGCGGCTCGGGACTGTATCCTGGACTGGTTCTACTCCTACATTCCAGGATTCTGGGACGATCACGTCGTGCAGCCAGGCACGGATCTGCCTCAGCGCCCCGAGGGTTCGTCCGACGAAGATTACATGAACCTGGGCCTCGTCCCTGAGCTTGAGCGCCTGGACCAGCGCACCTCGGAGAGGAAACGAATCATCATCACCAACGCTCAAAAAGGCACCAACATTGATGGTATTGATTCTTCACTCTGGAGTCTCCATCGCGATATCCTCGCGAGGATTGCCACGCTCAGAGAGATGCGCGCCCAGAATATGGACACTGCTCAAAAACAACGCTACTTTGACATGGATGAGGCCCTATGGGACACTTGGGCCGACCTCGATGCTCATTACAAACAATTGTGGTATGAGCGTGGTGCCACTGCCACTTTCTGGTGGAACAACAATGACATCACGTTTCCAGCCTACAATCAGAAAATAGTCGATGCCCAAAAAGTGGACCTGGGTTGGGATAGACGGGACCACCGTGCGTACCAACGCAAGTGGGAAGCACAAGAGGGATGCCTGCTCGAGATGATGCCGCATGTCTCTTTCGGCCTTGATAGGTTTTGTGACGTTGCGAACTGGTATAAACACCCTCAAGTTATTGGCCCTGGCACGGCCAAAGATTGGGGCTTGCCTCACCACTTCGACACCATCTCGAAAGATATGTGCATCCTCATGCAGACACGTGGCATTTCCGTCATCAACAACTCGGCATGGACACAAACTATGGATCGCACCAAGGTCGATGGATGGCACTGCCAGAAGACAGGTGCGAATTGGGCTCGCTTCGCTGCGCAATGGGTCACCTTTGCAACACTCAAGAACCTTTATGGCGTAATGAACTCTAAGCCAAGTCAGTTCTACGCTTTCAAACAGCCCGCAGTGAGGCCGCTTAATGAACCACAATCTCATAGTTTGTCCCACATGTTGTTGATCGCGTGGCACCATCGTCAAGTACACATCCAGAGTCTATACGATCACGTTTCAGCATCATCCGTTGATCGTGCGAAGACAAATGAGTTGTTGTGCATGCGTGCCGCTCATACCCTCTGCAATTGGACAAGCAGCGGGACACCGCAGCTGCGCAACGGGAGACCGTTGCTACAGCCGCCGCCCCGCCTACCGTCGCTCCCGAGATCGCCAAAATGATCACAGCACATCTGAAGAGATCTGGCGTGGAAAACGAAGACGAGACATCCACGCGCGCAACCACGGCTTTCGCTTCCAACGCAGAATCTATTCAGCAGCGTGAGGACCTTGGGATGCGCGCCGTTCTGAACCAAGAAGGTGACATTACCTTCTTGCCAGTCACAGAGGACACGACGGCTGACCCGACATATGCATTAGTGATGACTCAAGACGAATATGTCATGGCCGATCATGTTTCTCAGATGTCCAAATTATACCGAGGCCTTCTCCAGGACACTCGTGAAAAATCGCTTGGACCAGACCGTAACTCTTGGATCACTGGCTACATGGATTGCACATCCGAGACCTCCTGGCGCGAGAGACACGCACGACTGTGTGCCGCCATTTACGCCGGCCTTTACCTGCTCGACCCCGACCTCATGAAGAACGGTAAAGGCGATGCCCGGCACCTCCGCTTGGCGGAGGAGATGGCTCTCAACCCGGAGGCCCAGCAGTGGATGGACAACCACCCGATGACGACCGCGGAGTCCGAGGATGGCGACACGGTCTTGCAACGGGAAACCGTAGCCAGAGAGACATCGTCCAAAACGGCTCATTGCCTACATTACGAAGTTTTGACACCACAGCGGGCATGCTATTTCTCCGGGGTCAAGAAGCGCACAGATGACATGGACAGATGTAAGACCCCACGAGAGTTAGCATTGATTGACCCTGATCACCCAAACGCTATTGTCATTTTCAATGTCGATCCACTGCTTCGCAGAACAATGCCGGACAATGTCCCCGAGAATGACCCGCGGCGCCTGATCAATGAACAGGACATTCACGTGCTCAAATACGCCGACGACCTCGTCGGCAGCCGTTGGTTCGAGGGTGCATATGAGTGGATCGCCTTGCCCCCGTGGCGAGATTGCCCATACGGCACCCCTCTCCCTGATGGATACGACTTCGGACGCTGGGAGTTTAGCAAGTTTCTCAACACGATACTCCGTCACACAAGTGGAGTGACCAATGCATATCACGATCGGCGTCTGAACATCGACTTCTCCAAGACATCCACCTTTCGAGAGTGTGCGATGAATTGCTGGCAGCGCAGCCAGCAAGAATACTACCACAGAAAGAAGGGGAAATGGGAATACCGCAAAACACCCACGAACGAGGCCGTCCTAGCATGTTGGGAGATTGAGCGTGACAATGGTGACTACATCGACTTGGCCGATTACTATTGTTACATGGCCATTCGCATGCTGCAATACCATGCAGATGGAAAGTCGCGCACCGAAGTGTTTGCACCCATCGGCTCTGACCTCAATCCGCTCACGTTTCCGTTCGGCCGCATCTTGGCCATACGAAGCACAGGTGGTCAGTCCGAGGTGCATCCATATTCCACAGCCCACAACATGGGTTGGGAGGAGTTGTCTATTCATGACACTCCATATCTCTGGCACGCAACCGAGCTGTCTTCAGTGCGGAGCATTACCGAAGGCTCACCAAGGTCTAACCCAGGCATAGTCAAAGGGTTCGACAAGCGAGACCACAAGCATGGGGCAACCCGTGCCGAGGTCTTTGCCTCCGCTCATCCTTTCACTCACTCTTGCGGCCAGAACCCCTACACCACCATACCGCCGTACGTCTTTCACTCCGCTAAGAAACAGTGTGAATTTCAGATTGACCATCAGAAATGCGCTACGGCTGGCATCACGTGGTGGAAGGGTAAACAGGGCGCGATAATGGCAGAATGCGACATCCCAGTACATTGTCTCATTCGTTGCAGGAACATTGCCACCGGCAAAATCATCTGGGGGCGCCCAGACGACGACGACCTGGCCAGACCTCCTCGTGATTCTGAGCCACGGTCCAAGTATGAGCGCTCCACATTGTATGAGTTTCGTGGCCATGGCAATAACCCGTGGGGCGATGCGCAGCGGGCAACCGCAGCTGCACCTCCAACCCCACCTAAGCCGCCTGCTCCGACTGTGCACAAGTCCAGACCCCTGGCTCGAGACAATGATGTGCCAAAGAGGCCTCCACCGCCTCCGCCCCCGACTCCACTCCAGCCAGTCCAGCCTGGGCAACGTGCTCCCAAGACACCCCAGAGGAAGGCCCCGCCACCAGAAGGCGTCGGCAGACCTCCTCCAGGAGAGTTACCGCCGCCGATCGCTCCCAACGTGTATCCTGGCCAGGTCGTGGGTGACAACGAGGTTCCACCACCGCCACCACGGCATGCGCCGCCACCAGTGGGAGCTGTACCTGGACAAGGTATTGCCAAGGCTTCGCCACCTGTTCCGCCGCTCCCCCCAGGACCTCCACCGGCACACACTCCCATCGCTTCGGCCCCCCCGCACGTGCGGCGAGAGATCGCAGCAGAGCAGCGGGAGACCGCCGCGCCGAGAGATACAGCCGTGGAAGAAGTCTCCGAGGGAGTTGAGGGCCTCACGTTAGACCCACACGACGCGGCCGCGGCTGCTGCCCAGATGGCCACCGAGAGGGAAGCCGCCCTTGCTAAGTCCGAGGCCGCTCTGCTGAGGACACAGAGTAGACTCGCTGATGCAATCAATGCCTTAACAGCGGCTAGAAAGGCCGTCGGGTTGGTAAACATCCGCCCAGTGGCACCTCCGATCCGAGCACATCGTGACGAGTCTGGCGACACATCCGCCCCTGACGTCTCAATACCAACTGTTGTGCAGCGGGAAACCGCAGCTTTGCAGTTGACAACAGACCAGGAGCGCGAGCGTAATCGTCAGATTCACGAGCGTTACGAACAATGGTTCCTACAGGCTGCCACTGAGGGCCGCGTTAGCCACATCACGTCAGCCTGGCCGCCCATGGGTCCCCACGAGACCTATCGGATTGGAGACTACGTTCAAACAAGACAAGCTTGCTACTTTTACACTCACCCGCCATCGAGACACTCAGATGGTTCCTGGGTTGGACAGCGCGTTAGCCCTCATGATGGCGAACCAATGGGAGCCTTATTCGGACCCATTCGTGAGGTAGGTCAGTTCATGGGATACGTGACCGTGAAAATCGGAGACCACTGGATGAACGTTTGGGATGGCACGAAGGGCATGATGGCGGGCAACACGCTTGCCCGCGTCGTACCTTGCCCAGACTTTGACCCCAACTCGCTTCCAGATGACCTTCGCTTCGGTCCCTCAGTTAACTTTCCACCTCGTCATGCGCTCATGACGCCGACCAGTGACGTCAGGGCTGGGGGAGGTTTTCGTGCTCCACTGCGCCAGAGGCATACAGACGCCCCTAGTGCAGCGGGACACCGCAGCGCCCCCAGTCAACAGCCCCCAGATGTTGAGGAGGTCTCCGACATACATGCTCTTGAGGCTGACGCAGCACACCGCCGACTCCGATTCGAGGACGAGAGCGCGACGGGAGACCGTCGCACCGCCCCCCTTTCGGACCAGGCTACCGCTCTTGTTCCGCCTCACATATATGAGCCAGGTGAGTTGCTCAAATTGATCAGGAGCCCTCAGTCTTTGGGTGTGTCCACTGACGACGCACCTCCGGCCCAGTCATCGCCGACAGTCGTGCCAGAACCGACACCAGTTGCAGTTGACCCTCCGTCGCCGACTATCACTCCGCCCGACGAACAACAGGCAGCGGAGGATCACCCTCTGGCGGCAAACGATCACAGTTCGCCTACTGAGATGCCGGTCCCCACACAGGACCAGAGCTCGCCGACCGAAATCCCTGTACCAACGGATTTTCCAGAGGAAAGTAACGATGACGGCGCAGCGGGAAATCGCAGCAATGGTGACACTGCGCCACATGTTCCCGAACATGCCGATGATGACTTCCTCAAGAAGGATGACTGGTCCCCAGAGAACGACGTCCGCAATGAGATTGAAACAATGGAGGATAACGCGGAGAAAACTCTCACGTATGGACCAGATCAGACCGACCTACCAGACTATTTCAAAGCATTCAAGAAAGTCCACATTGTTCGTAGATCTGGGCCTCAAGGTGATGTTAACACCAAAGTGAAGCAAACCATGGAATACATCGTTGTCTTGAACATGGACGATATCGCAAATACCACAATGACCTTCGAATTCAATTGCGATGCACCATGGTGTCACCGTTTCCCAGAGCAATGCGGACACAGAGCTTTCACCAAGTACCTTTTCCAGTGCATTGGTACTTTCCGATACAGAACCCTGGCATACGGCAGACGTTCATGGTGCGCCATGGCATACCTGAACCTCTACCAGCAGGCTGGCGACAAATTTGCACTCATCGGCATTGAGAACGCCGAGATCGTGCAGAACCATCCCGGCCTTGCTGCACTCCGCATGGGCACAGAGAACTATGTGGAGGACGAGTTCGTGAATGCGGCGCCCCACGACGGAAAGATTTCCACATTGGCTACGAAGCAAGGGGAAACCCTAGCGTCGCGAGACGATGTGGAGGCTACAAAAACCGTTATCGAATCTGTCGTTGGTTCACAGTTATCACAACGCACACTCGCCACTCAAGTTCTCCAAGACGCATGCCAGGCTATCGCCGCTTCCGCCGACTCTCAGGGTGCAGCGGGAAACCGCAGCGACCTTGACAAGATCTTGGATGAAGACGACGAAAAGATCTTTGCCCCGCTTGAGCCTGATCACCTTGATCGGGCCCGCCAAATCGTCTCTGCGCCAGGTGGTAGTGTATCTCAAGAAAATTTCGCGACCCTGCTCGCAGGGGTCGCTCAGTTCGACGAGAGCACAGGACTGGCACCTCCAGAGCTACAGACTCGCATCCCTTCTTGCTCAATTTGCAACGCTCGGATGCCCGCCGATTTGGACACTCCTGGGGCCACTCTGAAGTGTGCCTTTTGCATGAAGTACGAGAACTCAAAATGGCCGGACGAAGTTGCGGCCTGGCGAGAACAGTTCGTTGCGTTTGTCGCCACTCAGCCGGATGACGTCGCCAAGCGCGTCACAGCTGCCCCCATTGATACGCGTGGCTTGAAGAAGCCACAGACAGACGCTAAAGACGATCTTCAAAATATGGGGAAGAAAGCTGAGAAACGGCATCAGAAGTGGCTAGCTTGGAACTCCCCATCTCGGGAGGAATGCGACAGGCTACGTGCAAAAGCCGATGCGGACGGCATTCTGCCTGAGAATCCAAACTACCCTCCCATGTACCATCCATACATGTCCCTTGCACAACGCTTTGCGGAGGATGATGATTTTCGTGAGCAGATGACAACGGTTCGGATTCAAGCTGGCAGGGTTGCATGGACAATAGAAGTTGCCACTGAGGCCGATCGCCTCTGGCAGGCCTCCAAAAAGAGAAAAGAGACTGGAGCACCGAATCTCGGAGCCGAGACACTTCTCGAACGGTTTCAGCGCAACCATCTTACCGTACACGTCCCGGGCGAGTCTTCCAGCGGTGTCATCACCGCCGCAGAAATTCGCGCGCACCCACAGTCCCTGACTGGGTCCCGGGACGAGATCCGCTCCGGTGTTAAGAGAGAGCGCGAAGAATACTACTCTCAGCTTCAGGAGACTGCCAGTGCAGCGGGAAACCGCAGCGGCAACGCTCCAGGAAGCGGTAGTGGGGGTGACACAAGGGGGAGCGGGACCGATCCAAACCCCCAGCCACCGCCACATACATCCGAGTATCGTACCTCTTCCGGCGCGTTCGACAGCCATGGTCATGTCGCCTCTCCGGCGCCTCCGCCTGCCGCTGCCAGATATGCGCCCGCGCGTCCCGATGATGGACCACCTCTAGCAAAGCGCCCCGCTATCTCGAACGTGACCCACGGTTACAGTCCTGAATACGGTGCCCACTATTACGACAGGCAAATTGCTCCATATGACCGCCAGTGGTACGACTACTGGGGCGAGTTCATCTGGGTCAAAGCGTGGGATCCTTTCGCCAATAGTGGATGGGGCGCGACTGCATGGAACAAGAAGTACACCTCGGGAAAATATACGGGCAAATCATGGCGCTGGGATCCTCCACGCTAATGCACCAGGATACTGGTTGCCATGCCGCCCACAAGATTTTGAATGGCTTCCAACTTTATCTTATAGTTGATGCGCCTATCGCTATTATTTTATCGTTTTCTTTGTTGATATCTATTCTTTGAGGACGCTCGCACTTACTTTCCGATTGGTATATCACTTCAAGGATTCTTCCCCTTCATGGACTCAACAACTAAGTGTGAAAGTTTATGGTGCCAGCTATCCTCATGTTGTGAGAATACTACTCATATAGATTCAAAAAAAAAAAAAAATCGCATAATGCACAATTGCAAAAATATCCTTTAGACTCGAACTGTGGCAAGACGTACAGATTGCATCTGGTACAGATTGGATCTGGAACTTGCATAAAAAGATTCACCACCCTCGTACCAAATCGTTCACATATCTTACTTTGATTTGGATTGGATTGAAGACTTCACATTCGTACATTTCTTCCATATCATGTGTTGCTTCGGGCACCGACCGTTTGGGTCGGTGTCATAAGAGCTCAGTCTCTCCATTCCACTTCTCTCCAGCCCACAGCACTGTCCTGGGTTCTATCTCGGCGGCAGGCGCTGTAAAACTTTGTTTGCGGGTTAGCGCCGCCGTTGGGTGCGAACCTTACGACAGAGTTTTGGCTGTCCCTTCTTTCCTTCCTGGGCTGAAGCAGTGGATTGCAGACAGGAGTTCAGTAGAGATTCACTCTCCTATCCCGATCCCCGCTTCGGTGCCTTTCGCCTTTGTGCGTGGGCATCGGGCGGGATCGGGACGGGGGGTGTGTGTGAATCCCCCTACTTTCCTCCTATCTTGCTCATATCCATCGCCCCTCTTGGCTCGGATGACAGGTACTCGATAGTTAGAGGTACGTTGGGTAAAACCATCGTCCCTCATCGTCTACCGACGGAACACTCGGGGTGGGGTCGGTCCATTGGTCCTCCTCACCCTCACACATATGCGGATGGGGAGGTAAGGCCAGGTTCGCATGCGGGCACCGAGCGGGCCCAGAAAAGCAACAACCTCTGGAGAAGGGTTTTGGTGGATACCCATAGTGGGGGGGAACCAATGTGCAAGATGCCCGACGGCCAAAGTTGCTGGCAGAGGCCGTTGTCGGCCAGGCGATTGCCCCCACCCCAGTTGAAAACGTGTCGGGCAGCTTCGAGAACGGATCCGAATCAAGTCCTCATCCGTTCCGCCCATTAATGGGGACGGGAATGAAGACTGTGAAATACCAATGACGACTTCCGGTGTAAATTTCGAATACCAGCCCTCACGGACAGAATGCTCGGCGTCGCGCACGGCGATGATGCCTCGCGGTTGCGCCCTCGATTGGGCATGATGAACCATCAAAACCAGCAAGGAGGTTGGTCTGGGGTTGGAGTGGGGTGGAGCCCGTTGCGGATGCAAGTCTGTCCCCTTGAAGTGTGTTCGATTGATTTTCCTTCATCTCGGCTTGGCTGAGGACCTTGGGTTTAAACCAGCCGCCAGTCTGTCGAGGTATTCTCGCTGGGTTCTGTTCATCTGCTCACGACACGGTCGTCCCAAGAGGCGAGCCTGCTGCTTGGCGACGGCGCCACACTCCGTGCAATACCAGATTTTGAGGGTCGTGCGAAGAGTAAGGGTGCGGGTGGGATGGCCCCCTCCCACGATGTGAATACGATCCCCCTTCTTCGGGGACATAAGCCCGCCGTCTACGTTATAGAATTGCTGGCAACGTGTAAACCGCCAATATTCCGTGCAAGCCCTGGAGACCGACCCGACATATTGCGTTACAATGTTGCTCAGCTTCAGTTCAATCGTGGGGAGAGAGGGAGGAAGAGGGGGAGGGGAGGAGGAGGAGGAGGAGGAGGAGGAGGAGGAGGAGGAGGAGGAGGAGGAGGAGGAGAGCAGGAGGAGGGAAGGAGGGGAGGAGGGAGAGGAGGGAGGAGGAGGGGAGGAGGGAGGAGGGAGAGGAGTGAGGAGGAGGAGGAGGAAGGAGAGGAGGAGGAGGAGGATGAGGAGGAGGAGGAGGAGGAGGAGGGAGGGGAGGAGGAGGAGGAGAGGAGGAGGAGGAGGAGGACGAGGAGAGGATCGAGGAGGAGGAGGGATGGAGGGAGGAGGGAGAGGAGGGAGGAGGAGGGAGGAGGAGGAGGAGGAGGGGAGGAGGAGGAGGGAGGAGGAGGTGCACGCAGAGAGGAGGAGGAGGAGGAGGAGGAGGAGGAGGAGGAGGAGGAGGAGGAGGGGGGAAGGACGCAGCAGCAACGGGGCGCTCTGGTGGCCTCGGACCCTCGGCAGCCTCGGTGGCCGCCGCGCTGTCGACCGTCGCTCCGAGGAGCCGAGCTCCGACCAGGGACGCCCTGCTCTCCTGCATGGGGATGCGGCACATGCTCGGCCTCCTCCTCGTCCTCCTCCTTTTCCTCGACCTCCTCCTCCTCCTCCTCCTCGACCCCTCCTCCTCCTCCTCCTCCTCCTCCTCCTCCTCCTCCTCCTCCTCCTCCTCCTCTTCCTCCTTCTCCTCCTCCTCCTTCTCCTCCTCCTCCTCCCTCCCCCTTCGAGGGTCTCCGGCCCTCGGCAGCCCTGGTACGCGAGCATCGTGACCGGGCGAGGAGAAGTATGCACGTGCACCGATCTTGGCCAGGCCTATCCTTGGCCCAGGATCAGTGCATAGGCTTTCCTGGCCGAGGCAGGAGGGCGTATGCACCGATCCTGGGCTCAGGATGGGCCTGGCCAGGATCGGTGCATGTGCAGACTTCTCGTTCCTCTACGTGAGCAGCGTAGGCCGCCAGCTCGTCCGCAACCGCGCTGCCCACCACGAGGCCCCGCACACCTCGTCGCTCGCGCAGCTGCTGCGCGGTGGTGCGGAAGCTCGTGAAGAGCACAACCACTCCACCGTCACATACAGGCTTGATTATTTGCCACCATATGTCCGCATGTTTTCTCCATGAGTGCCCACACTATTCTTCGCCGCGACCATGTCGCAGACCCTGACGTAGGTCAGCGCAGTCAGCGCGCCCGTCGTACCAAGAAGGGCCATCTGTAACGCTCTCAGTTCCCCTCGCGCCACCACCTGTCTCGGACCGACCAACGGCCCCACGACACGAGAGTGCGCCGGCGGCCTAGCGGTGTCCAGCAACCTCACGATGGCCACGTTTACCCGCCTGAGCTTGTTGGAGCTCGTGGCTTCCCCCCGCTAGCGTCGCCGCATACGAACAGCGGGTCATCGTCAGGCCCGTGGCCCATGCGGCCCTGCATAGGCCACCACTTATCCCCCGAGGGAGGAGGATGAGTGCATGCCACCACTTGTCCTCCGAGGGAGGAGGAGGCGCGCCACCCACTCGGCAGGTAGCAGCCCTCGCAACCAGAAGGCCTCGGCCGTGTTGACCTGCGCCAGCGCCTGGCTCACGAGCTCGTCGCTGAGGCCGTAGGCCCTGGACCCCGCGTTCGTCTCGAGTGGAGCCGTGCGCAGATCACAGACCGTGTTTCACCACCCACCAAACCACCCCAACCCAACCCGAAGGTCCAAATTCATCCTCGATCTCCAGTGGGGGGGTCGGAGAACATTGCAAAAACATGGAACCCGTACCCCCCCAACCCGAAATTCGTGTCAAATTCGGGTTTTCGGGTTGGGTTGGGGTGGTCTGGTAGGTAGTCAGTGTTGCCGTCGTATCTCGCAAGGTGCTTCAGCTTCCTCGCCTCGGGCCACGGCGCTCCCGTGGCCACGCCCCCTCGCGCCCACGCCCTCGTCCGCGCGCCCGGCGCGCGGAGGAGGCTGAGGCGGGAGGCCCGAGGCTCGAGAGGTCGGCGAGAAGTTTGCTTCCCACCACCACCACCATGAGTTGGAGGGGGGGAGGAGGAGGAGGAGGAGGAGGAGGAGGAGGAGGAGGAGGAGGAGGAGGAGGAGGAGGAGGAGGAGGAGGAGGCTGAGGAGGAGGAGGAGGAGGAGGAGGAGGAGAGGAGGAGGGGCGGGGAGGGAGGAGGAGGAGGAGGAGGAGGAGGAGGAGGAGGAGAGGAGGAGGAGGGGGAGGAGGGTGAGGAGGCGGAGGAGGAGGGGAGGAGGAGGGAGGAGGAGGAGGAGGAGGAGGAGGAGGAGGAGGAGGAGGAGGGGGAAGAGGGGGAGGAGGAGGAAGAGAGGGAGGCAAAGGAGGAGGAGCCTAGGCCCGTCTCGCTGCTGACTGAGTTGCCGTGAGAGCGTCCTGTGCGAGTCGTGATGCACTCCTCCTTGGTTGCCTCCTCCGCAGAAGTGCCGAGACGCCTTACTGCACAACTGCTCGGACGCGGAGGCTGACATGTGTGTGTGTGTGTGTGTGTGTGTGTGTGTGTGTGTGTCTGTGCGTGTGTGTCTGTGCGTGTGTGTCTCGGTGTACTTGTGTCTCCTTGTACCCGTGACTATGTGTCTCATTGTTTGCGTGTGAGAGAGAAGGCCCGGTTGCAATGAATCAGGTGTCCTCCTGGGATCAAGCATTGCTGGGTTTTGACCTGCCGCCCTCGAGCCGAGCAATGTGGTCGAGCACCCTCCCTTGGTGAGGCCCGCGCACGTTTGTGCAAGACGACGACGGCACTTAGCAGCCTGCTGCCCGAGCATCCCATGCGCTTGAAGACCGCACGTCCCCGCTCGCTGTCCATCGGCCTTCTTCAGTCTCGAAGCCTGATGATATGTCCTCGACGCTCTGGAAAACCTGGCGATGTTACTGTTCAGCTGCTTATGTTGTAGATCCCGCTTTATTTTCATGGCGCGAGCCCTTCTCCCACAACTGCAATCGATACCCGGATACGTTGATTGCCTTGCTGCCTCAATATGAATTCCTCGAAGACGAACTGCTCTGGCCACTGCGGCTGCGTCCTGCACCTTGGATCAAAGAACGGCTGACTCGGGTGAGACGCACAATTGATGCCGTGCAAGCGCCTTGCCCGTGTCGACACTGCATCTGATCGTATTCTGGCGCACTGCCTGGTTGGAGCCGGACCCCCTCTGAGAGATTTCGTCGATTCACAGTCGGTGGCCCATGTGTGGGCCTGGCCGCGGTGACCTGCTGCACGACGCAGTATGCCATGATGCGCGCGAATCGCGTGCCTGCCCCGAGGCCCTGGACTGCGCCGTGGCTCGGTTAAAAAAATGGCTCCGAGACCACGCCGTCCTGGACCGCGTTCCTCCTCCTCCTCCTCCTTCTCCTCCTCCTCCTCCAGCTGACCACGCACTGGAAGAGCTCCAGCCCGAGGATGGTTGGCGGGAACCCCATCTTCAGGGCGCCCCTCGCGAGGACGCCCCACGGGACGGAGTCGCAAAGCTCTTGGACGTCGGCGAGCGCGCGCCCGAAGCTCGTGCCCACGGTGCGCGCCAGCACCTCGTCGATGGCCCTGAAGTACGGTCGGGGCGTTGACCTAAGGAACCCTAAATGAGGAACGAGGCCTCTTTTTTCCCGTAAGCTTAACTTCGATTTCCCATCAAAACCAAAGGCGAACTGCAAAACAACTAAGGAACACCGAGCCCCTCCCCAACGAAAAGGGTTCCTTCTTCAGAGCCCCGTCTGTAGACCTCCTGAATGCACGAGTTGCCCTCGATCGCCGCGTCCCATGAGGCCGCGTGATCCTGATGGTCTCGTGGATGAGTGACCACAGGCGCCCCAGCATGGAGGTGATGCCTAGAGCCCTGTCCCCTGCCGTCTTGGGGATCAGACGGCAGAAGACGAGCATGAACCGGACGGGCCACATCATGGTGGACTCCGCAGCCTGCATCACCATCGCCAGCTCGTCGATCGCTTGCCGAGGGAGCCGCAGGTAGTCCACTGCCTTGAACATGTCGACCCCCATCCCCGCATTCATCTTCATCTTGCCAGCACATCTGTATGTATCATCGCTGGAAATGGGAGGGAGCGGGTCGAACGCCGCCTCCTCGCGAATACTTCTGCATAACTCCACCACGGCCTGTGCGTCTAAGGGCGTGGGGGTCCAGTGCTTCTTGACAGTGACTTGCTTGCTATCTATACCGTCGATGGGTGAAGCATTCCACTGTTGCCAACAGTGGCCTCACGCCGAGGCAGAGTTTGCAGCGTCAGAGACGTCTGAGCAATCCCTGGTGCCGTTGGCTCGGCGATCCCAGGTCGACGTACTGTGGTGGACTCGTGCAGCGCCGCTCTCCGGGAGCGCTCCATGCGCATGCGGGCCGACTCGACAAGAGACCCCATGATGAGTACAGTCGGGGCGCTGAAGAAGGAACCCTTTTCGTTGGGGAGGGGCTCGGTGTTCCTTGAAGGTTTCAAAGTTTGCCTCGGGCTTTCCTGAGGTTTTCCACGGGAAATCGAGGTTGAATGTTTGGGGAAAAAAGGGCCTCTTTCCTTATGTGGGGTTAATTAGGTCAAGGCCCCGACTGTACCTGAACTTGCTGAGGCCGCTGAAGAAGGTCCCAGGGTGGATCGCGACCCTCTCCTGAGCAGCACATGTGCCCCTGCTGCTCGAGCCCCACATAGAAAGTGGCACGCCTCCTCGGAATGCTGCACCTGCTTGTCGCCGTTGCGCACCTCGTGCCTGTGGAGTCCCTTCGGCACCGCGTGGGGCCTCGTCCACCATTCACTCCTCTGATCACGCAGGCGGAGCTCACGCAGATGTAGGGTTTGGCGAGTTGTTTTGGTGGAAAGCTCCGAGTGAGGCCCGCTTCCCGCGAGGATCCAGCATGGCCGACTCGGCAGCTGCGGCCCGTGGTGCGTACAGGGCCTGACGCTGTCGAGCAAGCTGGATGCTTGAGCATAAAGGCTACAGTGCCGTGTTTAATACATGCTCTGCGTGCGGATCATGTATTAAACATGCAGGGATTCAGTGTTAAGAACAACGATGAGTTCATGCATGAATTGATTCATAAATTAATCGTGTATTAAACATCCTATATTAAAAAAATCCGAGGTATTAAACAACTGCCCTGTACCGAGTGCAGCAGCTGAGGGGCAACGGAGGCGAGAGGGGAAGCCCCAGGAGTGAAGCCAACCTGGAGCCCGGCCCCGCCCCCGGAGGTCGGGTTGGGACAGCAGGCTCGGCATCAGCAGGTCGATGCGCCTCCTGGGCAGGGCTGAACATCTGAGCATCGAGATTACCGTCAACCCTCATGCTAAGGATGGTCGGGGGTGGACAGAACCCCCAATAGTGACACGTCGATTAGTGAATTGTCCGTTTTCGGTTTTCGAGTGGGCGCCGTGGCCGTTATTTTCCAGGCTTTCGCCCGCCAGGTTTGGGCCCGAAGTCGTTTTCACTAAACCACGTTTTACTAAAGGGAGGTCTGTCCATCCCCGAGATGGGCAGCTTTCCCAAGGGTACCCTTGCAGCCTTGCCCCCTTGGTCCATCCTTCGCCACGCTCGTTGGCCGCGCCCCGCTCGAAGAGCCTCGGATGGGGCGTTCCAGGGCCCCTGCATCCTCGTCGCGCGTCCTTCCTGCACGGGATGGCTGTCTCACAGCCGCCTGGGCCTCTGGCCGAGGCGTGTGGGACGGGGCCCGCAGCAGTGCTCCGCTTGCTCTGGGGCTGGCCGACCGGGTTCTTCCGAGGCCGGCGACGGACGAGCGGGGGCCAGCGGATTTGCCAGAGCCGCAGGCGGCACGCCATCACCACAAGAGCTGAGTTCCTCGGTCCAAGGGTCCTCCTCCTTCTCGGGCCAGGGGGCTCACTCACCTACAGCCAAGACGCTGAAATAAGGAACAGTTTGGCTTCGGAAGGGGCTCGATGTTCCTGACGTCCTTCCTTGGTTGTTCCTGTAGCCCTTCTCGTGCTCCCAGGCTGTTTTGAAGCCACAGAGGGGCTTTGTTCCTTATTTAGCGTTCCTTATCTCAGCAGCCCACTTGTACGCAATCCCCGTCGAGGGCTCCGAGAGTCTTGGAAACGGTCTCCAAAAAAAGGGCGGTGTACATGGCGGCCCTCTTCTTCTGGGCAACGACCCGCGCGAGAAACCGCTGAGCTCGAGACATGCTGGACTTGGAGCCTGGCGCGGGGTCCGTCTTGGGCCTCGGGGCTTGCGGGAGCCTACAAGGGAGCTCAAGAAGCCCCGAGCTCCTAAAGTAGACCACAAGCCCCATGCGAGGACGCCACGGCACTGCGCGGACGGCCCCTAAGTCAATAACGAACGGAAGAGCAGACCGCGAGCACAACACGTAGTCAAGCATGGTGTTGGGTCTTTGGGGGGAACACACAGCCCCTCAACATCTGATGTACGAATGATTGCTTGCCATTGTTGGGAGAATTCTGAGCGCCGAAGACTTGTTGGATTCATGTTTAAACCACCTATCATCAGCCACGGCATCTGGAGAGATTTTCCCAGGGCCCCGATTCGCTGGAATCTGATGCGGCTCCTGGCCGTCATACCAGTGTTCGGCAGGCCGTAGAGTACGATGACGACGATGGAGTGCCCCGCGAAGCGCAGCACCATGGGCAGGAGCCCGTCCAGGGCTGACTGATGAGCACCCTTGTCATGACAAGACGCAACTCGAGTTTCCTCCAATGCCTGGGCTTGGAGGTGAGCTCGCGCACGGAACAATTCCCCACCTTCGTTCGAGCGGGCAATCTTGTTCAAATTCATTTTCTTGCCATAGCATCGTGCAGGGTTATGATGCATATGGACGCTTGACACCCCATTCCCTGATTCAAGATTGCACTGCCACGTGTGTCTCAACCAGGGCCCTGAATACGTTCTGGATCTGGATTCAAGGAACTTCTGCGTCTTGTCTGAGAGGCTGGTGACACTGCCGCAGAACATCTCCGCATTGCCGTCGCTCTCGTACCCGTTGGCCGCCTTCCCCGGCGGCCTAGTACCTGAACCTAGTCGACTCGAGCTCGCGGCCCCGCCTCCCTCGGCCCACCCGTCGGGTCCCTGCCGTGGCGGCGGAGTCACTGCCGCCGGCCTTTGCTCCCCAGCCCGCCTCGAACTTGGCCTGCGAGGCCTCTGCGCCTCTGCGTCGAGGCGCGCCTGGGGCGCCGCCTGCTCGCCCTGGGCCTCTGGAGCCCCCGGAGCAGGCGGGGCGCCTGGCGCCGACGCCGCGGCGCGTGAGCCTGCCGCCTCCCGGGGCGAGGCGCGCTTCGTCTTGGTCCTCCTCTCCTCGAGGTCCTGCCTGCTGTGCTTCCGGGCGGTGCGGAGCCACTCCTGGATCTCTTGCTCCTTGCCCTGAAGGCGTTCGCGGGCTCCCTCGAGTAGCGTGCGCAGCCCTGTGGGAGCCTTCTTTTCGGCCCCCGTAGCCTTCCACAGTCTCGATATTGGCTCCCATTGCACGCTGATTATCTTCTTATCGCCCTCGCCCTCGCCCTTCGTGGTGTCGACCTGCACCCCCTCCGCCTTGGCGACGGCTTGGGCTGCGCGCAGCTTGATCTCTGCCGCTTGAGCCAGGTCACGTGCTGCAGCGCGTCATCTTTCTTCCGCAGCCGCCAGGTTGCCGCGTAAACGAACGACATGTGCCACTGCTTGTTGGTGCCTCTGCTCAGCGTCGCGCCAACACCCGTTGGCACCAACACCCGTCTGCGCGCCTGAACTCTTCAGACACGCTACACTTACGTCGGGACTGTCCCTGCACGGGGGGAATATTCAAAAAGTTGTTAAAAACAAAATAGTATTGGGATTTCGTTGAGTATGTTTGACCATTTGGGAATATGGTTGGGGTATTTTTTATTTTTCGTCGAAAATCCCCCTGTACGGGGCCACGCCCGACTTAATCCTGACGCAAGAGCTCGTGGACCGTGGCGCCCTTGCCCTTGCCTCCCCCTGCCGCCGGGGGACGAAGCCCGCCCACCTCGCGGCTGACGCAAGATGCCTGCAGGGAGTGGCTTGCGAGTGCCCCCGGAGTCGCTTCCGCTGCCCGCATCGAGCCACACTTCGTCGTCACCCGCATCCTGATCGGTGAAATGGAATCGGCCCCTGGGACGAAACAGCTCGACTACGGCTCCACACCCTCTGCAAGACATATTACGTTTGCAAGGCATCCGATTCCACTCACACTCAGTGACATTGCGAGCACCTGCTCCAGAGACTCGCCATTGCTGCTGCTACCGTGCCTCCTCTGTGTTGGTCGGTGCTCTCTCCTCTCTTGCTAGAAGAAATAACGAACAAAGTCCCTCGAGCGCTGCTCGGAAGCCCAGAGGAATGCGGCCCTGAGGAAGGGGGGCGGGACTGCTCCACTCCAGCCTTCCCTCTGAGCCACCATCGCTTGAGAGGTTGCTCCGGGGAGTCTTGGGGAGGGCGGAGGGAGGAGGGAAGGCCAGATGAAATCCCTCGTATGTTTCTGTAGGGGGTTCTGGGGGGTCTGGGGACCCCCCCGAGGGAGCTATGAAAGGCAGCTCCTTGTCCACTGTTTTTGGCGAACGCTCTTGCAGGTCGAGGGGATCACCCCCACCAGCAAAAGAAATAAAGAAACTCTCCTCAAGGAGATGTTTGGGAGGTTCCTGGGGGGGGCCCGGAGGAACAACACACACAAACACAGAAACACCGTCTTCAATCTAGAATCCAGTGTCCTGATGCGTTCTCGGGGGGCGGGGGAAGCCCAGAAGAACAAACGCCCCCCCCCCCCCCCCCTAAGATTTTCTTCGGGGGGGGGGGGGACTTTGGTTCTAGGGGGCCGAGAGAATTCTTTGACATATTCACATAAACAAGAGAATCGCTCACTTTTCAAGGATTGGTGTTCAAAAACGTTCCAAGGTGGGCCGGAGGAACTCCCTCGCCACATTACTTGGGGGATCCTGGGGGACCGGAAAAAACATTAGAACACATTGAACAAGCACATAACAACAAACGAGAACACACATACACCGCACTCACATTTATACCCCTGGGTGGGTGGGTGTTTATGCGGCCGTTTTTGCGCTGTCATGTGCGTGCGTGTGCGCAGCACGTGCCCTGCATGTGCCCGACATGTGCGGGCGCTTTTGGATGGATGTCCTATTGTGCGCACGTGCCCGGGCATGTGCGGGGTTATGTGCATTGTGTTTTGGTGCATTCATTGTGTGCACATGCCCGCGCATGCCGACGCACATGCGAGCACATGTGGAACGTGTGCGAGCATCGCGGAGCGGTCAATGGCACATGCATGTACATGCCTGCGCCCCTCCCTGGGGATGACAGCGCGGGCCTGCACATGCAGGCAGATGGGCCGAAGTCCGCGCCCGCACATGCGCGCACATGTCGATGCACATGCACGCACATGCCCGCGTATGCGGATCTTGTGCGAACATCGCAGATCGGGCATGTGCGAACATTCTGGACGCCCGAAATGGGTACGGAAAGATAGGGTACGATGCCCAACAGCAACACTTCCCTCCCTCAAGGGCGTTGTTTGGGGGCTCCCGGGGGGGGGCCAGAGAAGCCCCCGACGAGCACACAGAAGACGCAGGAGGTTTCGGGGGGGGCCCGGACGAAGCGTTTCTTGTGAAGGTTTCGGGGGGGCACGTGGATCCTTTGAAAACCATCTGGAAACCAAGGGACTAACAGCAGATCCTCAATGGGGGGGGGGTTTGGAAGAATTCCCAGCGGGGGGGGGCAGAGGACCCCCCCACAACAAAACCACCGCAGAAAGCAGTTATTTCTGCTTGTGAATTCCTGGGGGGGCGGAGGGTCCCCCGAAGAATCCCCCCCGTCAAAAATGTCAAATTCGTCCACAAGGCGGATTGCTATGGCGTCTCAGGGGGGGCCCGAGAAACCCCCGAAGAATCTTCGGAATAAGCCCTCACGCTGGTTTTTGAGGGGTTCAGCGCGGGCTGGAGGAACCCCACAGAAACCATAGAAAAGCAACCTTACATGTGCTTGTTGGTGTGTTGCTGGGCGGGCCGGAGGAACGCCAGAAAACACACTGAATAACATATCAAGAGAATGTTTGGGGGGTCTTGGGGGGGTCCTGGAGGAACCAGCGAAGCTCCATTGAACAACACTGAAACAACCCACCGTTAAGATGTTTTGGGGGTCTTGGGGCCGGAGGAGCCAATGAAAAAAACACCGATGACGACATAAACACGTTCCGGAATAATTAATGCTTTTGGTGAGCTCTTGGGGGGGGGAAACCAACGAAAAAAATATGAACCACCCCAGATCACTTGCCTGCAAGGCCGTTCTTTCGGGGGGCCCGGCGGAGGCCGACGTCGGGAAGAACTGGCGGGGCTGAGAGCGTCATGTCGGCGGAGATCTGCGGAAGGGGCTGCTGTTTTTGCAAGAGTTCCTTCTGCCCCCCCCTCTGTTAATTACAGCTGTGCGCGGCCCGCTTGGCTTCGACCGGAAGAGGTGCGTTCTCGACTCGCGGATAAAAAAACATGTTTTTGCAAGAGTCGGCGCCTCCAGAGCGGGAGCCCCGCACGAGCTGCCCGGCGACAGGCAAATTCTTGCCGTGCGCCGCTGCTTGAGTTCTTGGTCTGCCTGGCGACCGTTCGGTTCGCAGATTGTGACGTCAGCCCCAGCGAGCCGAGATCGTGCGGTCGCGCGTTCCTCCTCCTCCTCCTCCTCCTCCTCCTCCTCTTCCTCCTCCTCCTCCTCCTCCTCCTCCTCCTCCTCCTCGACCCCCCCAAAAACAAGAAGGCCGGCACTCCAGCCCACCTGTGCCTGCAGATGTCTGGGCTCATGGCCGGCCCCAAGGCGCCGCGGCCCTCCCGGGCGCACGCGGCGGCGCACGCGCCGCCGCATGGGCGAGGGCGCTTCGAAGCCCGAGCCCGAGCCCGAAGAGGACGAGGCGAGGGCAGATGCTGCATGGCAGGGCCTCATCCCGGGTGATGCCAGAGGCTGAGATGCAGCCAGGGGGCGGCGCGGGTCCAGAGGGAAGCGGGTCCCAAGGGTTATCGCCGTTCTCGGGCTCTCTGGTACTTCCGCTGGCCCCGGGAGTCTGAGAGAGCGGCTCAGGATGAAGAGTTGGTCTTGGGGGAAGGCTTCAGGGTCCAGGACCCGTTTCCCACTGGGCCCGATTCCCCCATGTTGATTGGATGTAGCCAGAGGCCCCCGCTGAGGGGAGCCGGTGGGTGATTGGGCCCCGAAGCTCCGAAAATGCGCAGGGATCACTAAGCACGGTCTGCCGTGGATGCATAGTGTCTCTTGGGGGTGGCGGACGCCCCAAAAACTGTCCTTGGCCCGAGCGTCGAAGGAGAACATACTACGAAATCATCAGAGTGAGGGTGCCGAACGTCTTGCAGCTTGCACCATCCTTGGGTCCATGGGTGAAGTGGGATTACGTGACCCGGATTCCGCTTGTTTGTTATTTGTCGTGGTTGATTGTTGTTTCCTCCCTGAAGGAAATCCATGCCCCTGTGCCCATAGTATTCATTCAATTGAAGAGACCCCTGGGGCTCGCACCCTGTGTGACAGTATTGGGCCTCAGACTGAGTTGCTTGCCTTCGGTTTATTACAAGAATAATTTCCTGGCTGTTGTGTCTTTGAAGTTTGTCCGGTAACCGCGTTTTCGTTTGAGATGTATTCAACCGTTTCGCTAATTCCGCCAGCCCATGTAGCCTCATCTCTGCCGTTTTGGCCGAGGGATCGTTGTAAATGCGGCGCTGCTGGGGTCTTTTGGCAGGACGAGGAAGGAGGAGGGCATGGATGAGTCGTCGTCGTCGACGATTCTGATGATGAGCGCAGCTGCACCTGCTAGTTCCGAACGCGACGACGCGTGCCCGATACGGAATGGATTCGGGCGAACAGAGATTCCTCGTCCCGCCCATATGAATGTATTGACGACGACGACGAAGACGACGGCGGCGGCAGCGGCGATGACAGCACGTATTGTGCCATCGCTGGCGTTTGGCCCGTTAGGGTGCCTCTTTGCGGCCTCTTGGGGACCTCTTGTGGACCTCTTGGGGTTCTCTGGAGGCCTCTTGAGGACCTCTTGGAGCCTCTAGGGGAGCTCTTGGGGTCCATCTTCTCGGTCTCTCCCACCCTCTTGCCCCCCTTCCCTTCCCCCTCTCGCCCTCCACTCCCGTCATCCTCGCTATCTCCCTGTTCCTCCTGCTGAAAGTGCCGCGAATGACACGCGAGCATATGTCAGCGACCAGGCTTAAAACCATTGCTGTTGCCGTTGTCGTCGACGTCGTCGCATGTCACCTGCCCGCGACTCACTCGCGACCTAGCCCGCAACCCACCCCGCGACCCACCCCCGCGCCCGCCCCATCATTCTTATCCGCAGTTGTGGGGTACTGCGTACAGTCGGGGCGCTGACTACGGAACCCTTTTCGTTGGGGAGGGGATCGGTGTTCCTTGATTGTTTTACAGTTTGCCTTGGGTTTTCCTTTGGTGCTCCATGGGGAACCGAAGTTTTAAGTTCAGGGAAACAGGGGCCTCGTTCCTTATTTGGGGTTCCGTAGGTCAACGCCCCGACGGTAATTTCTTTGAGCTTCGCGCGGGTCTCTCAGATCGGCGCCGGGCCACACCGGCGGCCCTGGGCCTCCTGGCAGCACCCGGCCCCTCCGGGGCGAGACCGACGCCCGGGCGCGGTTCCGCGAGGCGTACGCGGACGAGCCCGAGGCTCGTGGGCGGCCAAGAGGGGAGGGGTGACCAGGGGGGGGGGAGGAGGAGGAGGAGGAGGAGGAGGAGGAGGAGGAGGAGGAGGAGCAGGAGCAGGAGCAGGAGCACGAGCAGGAACGGGAGGAGGAGGAGGAGGGGTCGCCGTCGGGGCTTCCCGGGCCGTCTCTGAGCTGGGGCTCTGGGATTCTCCTGGGGTCGGGGGGCGGCAGAGAGGGGGGGGATAGCATTATTCAGAGCCCCGAGTCATCAGGGGTAACTCGGGTCAGGGCTAACTTGGGTTGGGTTTTCGGGATTCCGAACCCGAGTTACCCCGGACCCGACTTACCCCGGATAGTTCGGGCGTCCAGAGCCCCGAATCATCAGGGGTAACTCGGGTCAGGGCTAACTCGGGTTGGGTTTTCGGGATTCCGAACCCGACTTACCCCGGACCCGACTTACCCCGGATAGTTCGGGCGTCCAGAGCCCCGAATCATCAGGGGCAACTCGGGTCAGGGCTAACTCGGGTTCCTTTCTCGGGAATCCGAACCCGACTTACCCCGGACCCGACTTACCCCGGATAGTTCGGGCGTCCAGAGCCCCGAATCATCAGGGGCAACTCGGGTCAGGGCTAACTCGGGTTCCTTTCTCGGGAATCCGAACCCGACTTACCCCGGACCCGACTTACCCCGGATAATTCGGGCGTCCAGAACTCCGAATCATCAGGGGTAACTCGGGTCAGGGCTAACTCGGGTTCCTTTTTCGGGAATCCGAACCCGACTTACCCCGGACCCAACTTACCCCGGATAACTCGGGCGCCCAAATTACAGTCGGGGCCCTGAAGAAGGAACCCTTTTCGTTGGGGATGGGCTCGGTGTTCCTTGATTGGGCTGCAGTTTGCCTTCTGTTGTCCTGAGGTTTTCCATGGGAATTCGGAGTTCAACTGATGGGAGAAAGGGGCTCCGTTCCTTATTTAGGGTTCCTTATGTCAACGCCCCGACTGTAAGTCGGGCCGGTCCCTCTACAGGGGGAAGATTCAACAATCCGAAAAAATAGTCTGGGGACGATTTGTTTTACCATTTCTGAACATGTCCGGGTGTTTGTTTACTATTTCTTATGTTTCGTCCGAAATCCCCCTTGTAGGGGGACAGGCCCGACTAAAGGATAGCATGGCCAGGGCCCCAGGGCTATGCCCTCTCCCCAGATCTGAGGGCCCATTCTTCCTGCAGTTGGCCATGGCGAGCAGGTCGACCCTGCCAGTTCAAGGGTACCTTTTTTGTGGCCTGTGCTCCGCGGCCCATGCCGTCTTGCATCCCTCGATGACGCTGTGGCCCTCGGAAGAGTCTCGTGCCCTCTCGCGTGTCCTCTCCAATCAGGTCCGACTGTACTCCAGGACGCACCAGGGCCCCCATCCCATGCCGCCGTCCAGGGGGCGTCGCGTAGTATTAGGTCGGGTCTGTGCCTCTACAGGGGGGAGATCCAAAATGAGTCGCAAGATCGTCTGGGGACTATTGTTTGAGTATTGTTTGGGGCACCTCTGGGGCATGTTTTGCGTATGCTTTGTTTTTCGCCCGAGATCCCCTTGTAGAGGGACAGGCCCGACCTGAGCGCAATGGGGGTGCGATACCTTTGGGGGGGGGGGGGGGGGGGGCAGCGAGGGCTGCAGAGAAGGGGCCCTACAGGGCCCCCCCCTGCATGGGGCCCCCTGTAGGGCCCAAAAAGAAGCCTCTGGGGCCCGAGCAGTGCACCTGTCTCCCCCCCACTCATCGCTCCCCCCATCAAACAGAGGAAGCGGAGGAGGAGGAGGCGGAGGAGGAGGAGGAGGAGGAGGAGGAGGAGAAGGAGGAGGAGGAGGATGGGGAGGGGGAGGAGGAGGAGGAGTAGGAGGAGGAGGAGGAGGAGGAGGAGGAGGAGGAGCAGCAGGAGGAGCAGGAGGAGCAGGAGGAGGAGGAGGAGGGGGAGGAGGGGGAGGAGGGGGAGGAGGAGAGGAGGAGGAGGAGGAGGAGGAGGAGGAGGAGGAGGAGGAGGACGAGGAGGAGGAGAAGGAGGCGGAGGAGGAGCCGGAGGAGGAGGGAGGAGGAGAGGAGGAGGAGTAGGCGGAGGAGGAGGAGGAGGAGGGAGGAGGAGAGGAGGAGGAGGAGGCGGAGGAGGAGGAGGAGGAGAGGAGGAGGAGGAGGAGGAGGAGGAGGGAGGCGGAGGAGGAGGCGGAGGAGGAGGAGGAGGCGGAGGAGGAGGCGGAGGAGGAGGCGGAGGAGGCGGAGGAGGAGGAGGGGGAGGAGGAGGCGGAGGAGGAGGAGGAGGAGGAGGAGGAGGCGGAGGAGGAGGAGGAGGAGGAGGAGGAGGAGCCGGAGGAGGAGGAGGGAGGAGGAGGAGGAGGAGGAGGAGCCGGAGGAGGAGGATGGGAGGAGGAGGAGGAGGAGGAGGAGGAGGAGGAGGAGGAGGAGGAGGAGGAGGAGGAGGAGGAGGAGGAGGAGGCGGAGGAGGAGGACGAGGAGGCGGAGGAGGAGGAGGAGGAGGAGGAGGAGGAGGAGGGCCACGACCTGCGCTCCTCCCTCCCGGACGCCCCCGCCTCTGGACGCCCCCCGAGAGGCGCTGGAGGGCCTGGAGCGCATCGTCGCGGACCTCCGCGGGCGGCGCGCCGGCGAGCGCGCGGTGTCGCGGGAGGCGCGCCGCCTCGAGGCGCTGGCGCGGGCCGCGGAGGATTCGGCCACGGCCTGCCCGCAATTCTCAGGGGCGACGATAGGCCCTATCGTCGCCCAGGAGCGAATAGCCCAGGGGCGAATTCGGATGCAACTCCTGGGAGGTCAAATTCTGATGCTGCCCTGGTCCGAAATCTGGATTCATCCCGCTCAATCCGGCTTGATCCCACTGAATCCGGCCTAATCCGAGGCCCTTTCCGGCGTAACAGCCCCCCAAATGGGGATTGATTTGAAAATTTCCCAGAGGTTGCCTCCTAAGATTCGGCCACAGTTTGCCCTCAATTCTCAGAGGCGACGATAGGTCGGGTATGGCCAGGACCCCAGGTAAGGGGACCCGGTTAGTGGTAGGGCGCCGGAACCTTCGAATTGGCCAGAATCACTAAACCAGGTTTGCCATAGGTGGTGTTCTGTCGGGTGATGGCAGTCCCGGTTAGTGGAAATTGTGCGGGGGGGGGCGCCCCCGGTACAGATCAATACACCAGGTTCCATTAAACCCAGTGTCACTCACGCCCGAACGATGCCCCACAGCAGTTCCTGTTCATTTTGGAACAGGACTCGCTGTCCGCGCCGCCGCGGCCTGCGCCCATTTGCGGCAGAAGGCCGCCCGCCCGACAGCGGCCGCTGTTGGCTTGGAGCATTGTGCCCATTTTCTCCGTACCCCTTTCGGGCGTCCAGATATCTCAGGGGCGACGATGGGGACATGATGTTCCAACCTACTTTAGCCTTGGCCACCAGGAAGAGTTTCGAGCGGCCAGATAAAGCACCGAAGCTCAAGGGTTTTCACGCGTCGGGCCCTGGGAGACACTCGCCCGACACTGTTTCGACACTCTTTTGACACGTTACTGGGTGCTCGAAACTATTTCTGGGATGCGGTCCTTAAGTAGGATGGGGACAACGAATAGCCCAGGGGCGAGCAATACATATATTCATGATCCATGTCTTCGACAAAGGCTCCTGGGCGAGTACGTGTAATGCCCGCCCCTGGGCTATTCGCCCCTATCGTCGCCGCCGAAAAAAAGGCTCCCGGGCGAGTACGTGCAATGCCCGCCCCTGGGCTATTCGCCCCTGTCGTCGCCGCCGAAGTTCGCAGGGGTGGGGGGGTGTCTGGGAGCATTGGAAGCCACAAGTGGAACCGGTGCCCGTCGGTCGATGGGAGGAGGTCACCGCTCACCAAACCACCCCAGCCCAACCCGAACGCCCCGAGGTGCCCTCCACTTGCAGTGGGGGGGGGGTCCGGGAACATTGAAAAAGCACATATGAAGCCCGTGCTGCCCCCCCCCCCACCCGAAAGTCGGGCCTTCGGGTTGGGTTGGGGTAGACTGGAAGGTTGTCAGCACATATATCTGGACTCCCGGAGCCCAATCTACGTTTAGCGCGTTCCTAATCCAAGAATCGATGTGTCTGTGCTGTGCTTTGTTCTTCTCCGGGAGGGCCCGAACCCGACTTGTTTGATCCGCTTTCCTACTTCCTGTTTTTACCTACTTCTTCCGACCGACGTGTACACCCCCCCCACCCGAGATTTGGGATTCCGGGGTGGGTTGGGGTGTTCTGGTCGGTAGTCAGATCTGCGTGTAAGTCGGGCCTGTCCCCCTACAGGGGGACTCTCGACGAAACCTAAAAAAGGCACAACAAATAGCCCAAACCTAGCCCAAAGATAGTCCAGGGACGATGTTTTGAGTATCGTCTGACCTTCTTGGGGTATTTTGTGGGTTTTTTTTTATTGGTTCGTCGAAGATCCTCCTCCTCCTCCTCCTCCTCCTCCTCCGCCTCCGCCTCCGCCTCTGCCTCCTCCTCCTCCTCCTCCTCCTCCTCCTCCTCCTCCTTCCGTGGCCATTTTGGCTCAAGATGCCTGGTTCCCTTGGGGCCAAAACGGATACCGCTAGTCCGCGGCTTGCCCTCCAAGTTTTTCGCCTTTACTGCAGGGGTTGGGCGCCTGCACCAGTCCCATCCTTTCTCACGGAGACCCCTCAGTCGAGGGTTTCAGGGGTCCTCCAGCTGGAGGGCTCGCGAGCCCCATGGTCCCACCGCCTCCCGCCTCTGATATGCTGCGCGGCCCCAGGTCGCCGTACTGGGGATGCAGTTGTGGCGCAGACAAGAAGTGGGCGTGCCGAGTCCGCTGCCGTTGCGGCACAGCTGCCCCAGCTCGCATCGTCGCCGCAGCCAAGACCGCACATGCTAGAGCTGAGAAGGAAGCGCAAGGGAGGAAGCCCGTGCTTGGTGGCCGTCGTGTCACACCAGCGCCATGGGCACGGGACCAGAATGAGGAGCTCCGCAAGCAGCTGGCCGCGCTCGAGCGCAAGTTGGCCAACACAAGCCTCAAGGACCCGACGCCCGACCAGGGCACAGGTACTGAGAGGCCGAAGGATGCAGGAGCTACCCGAGCGGAGATTCTCTCGTCGATCGCCTTCTATGAGAAGTCCCTCAAGGAGCCGTCGCTGCCGTCTCATGTCAAGCAGGCGCACCAGCTCGAGCTCGAGACCCTCCGTGTGCAGCTCGAGAGTGTCCAGTCTCCCGAGGCCGCCCATCGCAGGGCCCAGGATAAGCTCAAGAATGCGCAATCGCAGTTGGTCAAGCTCCAGCGCGAGGCTGAGAAGATGTCCAAGCAAGTTCATGATCTCCAGGCTGCACTGGAGAACAAGAGGGCCGCAATCACTTCCAAGGAGGCGGAGATCGATGGCTACAAGAAGTCGTTCGCTGAGACCGCAAAGGCCGTCGCCCCAGAGCGGTCCCTCTTCTCTGATTTCAAGTTCGACAAGGATGGGCTCCCCGAGGAGATCCGCACCGCCCTCGAGTCCATCGGAGCGGAGACCATTGACAAGTTCTTCGCGGACCTCGAGGGCCAGGTGCGGAAGGCAACCGTACCCGAGCATGAGGATGCCCCCATGCCACAGCAGCCCGCTGAGAGTCCTGATGTGCCTCCTACTCCTGGCGATGACGGCTCCTCTGGTGGCGGCGTCAAGCGTGACCTCGACCCCACTTTCGAGGAGTCAAAGGCACTGTTCGAGCTCGTCAAAGGGGACAACCCTGACGACAGCAACGAAGACCTCATGCAGAAGTTCCATGACAAGCTACTGGCCATGCATCGTGATAAACGGCAGCGCCTTTGATCTGCCTGTATTAGTCAGTAGCTTACCTGTCCATCACGGCCAAGTTCGGCCACCGCCGAATGCTGGCCCTAGAAGCCAGTCCTTCGTGGAATCCTTCAATGCTAACCGCGGCATCCGCACGCTGAAGGAAAAGATACAGGCTTCGTCAGCGACAATTTTCGTCGCACAGGAAGTCGGATTCCATGATGATGATAATGATGATTTTGTTGCCTGGGCAGGTCGTCGTGGGCGGAAGCGCCTCTCAAGCCCTGGTGCCAAGTCCAGGGGAACAACGCCCACGCAGGGCGTTGCTATTCTTGCTAGGGATCACGTTGGACTTCGGGGACCAGGTTGCGCCCACGCTGTCCTTCACCAGAGACGCGCACTGCACGCAGTTGTGCACCTTCCTGGCTGGCCGCCGTTGCACATTGTCTGTTTCTACCTGGTGGTCAACCAGGGAATCAAGGGCAGGAACGCGCGCATCCTGGCTCAGATCGGCACGCGGGTTTCTGAGATTGCCGACTCCGTCGTCCTGGTTGGCGACTGGAATGCTACCCCGAGGGACATCGAGGAGTCAGGTTTCCCGGGAGAAGCCAAGATGGTACTCGTGGCCCCGTCCCTGCCCACATGCGTCACACCCGAGCCGAGCCGTGCGATTGATTTCTTTGTTGTCAACACTGTTGCCAAGAGGTTGCTTGAGTCCGCCCATGTGGACACTTCATGGCCGAAGCGACCCCGCCGCCCTATCTCGCTGGGTCTTTCCACGGAAGGCCTAAGGCAGCAGCACATGGTATACGCGGTGGCAAAGAAGTATGGGACCGAACGTATCATCGGACCCACACGAGAAGGCCCAGACTGGCATTACCCCTCCGTGATGGCTGAGGCGGCCGTCGATGCTAGTCGCCAGAAGCCTGTCCGTGAAGCATGGTGCATTTTGTCGCGAGCGTGGGCTACCTTCGCCCATGCCGCTGAGAAGGAGGCTAGTGCAGTCACTGGCTTGGGTACGTCCAGCAGCGCTTCGTGGGGGGCGCCACCCAAAGCCAGATGGGTTGATTACAATCACCGCCCCGAGACAGTTGCTGAAGTGAAGGCGATCTCTCGCGGCTGGACATGGTTATCGCAGTCCCTGGACAACCTGTGCAAGCCCATGAGGCTCAAGCACACCACGGTACCTTGTTTGGAAGCCGAGGTGGATGTGTTTTCGACCGCTGAATATTTCGGGCAGGGTCTATGCGCACGCCTGGGTGCCAGTGTTCTCGAGGCGCGCGTCGCTGTAGGCAATGCCTTACTTCGTGCAGCTGGAGCCCAAGGCCCGCTACCAGCACCGCCCACAGCACACCTACGCTCTGAAGCGGCCCCTGCGGCCGCTGTCGGGGTTGGCTTTTCAGGACAGGAAGGCGTGCAGTTTGACGAGCCTGGCATTGACCAGGACGATTTCTTTGGCATTAATGTGCAGCTCGGGGACCAGTCTGGAACCGTCACTCAGGAAGATGATTTAGAGACCTGCGTCGCCCCTCGGCTCCACCGTGACAGCCGCCGAGCTGCTGGCATTCTTGAGCAGTACCGTCGAGACATTGCAGCTGATGCACGGAAGGCCGAGCTGGATGAAGTAAAAGATGATCGCCAACGGTGGCAGGACTGGTGCGACGCGGCATCGTCCAATGGTGGGCGAGGACTTCACCGCACTACCCGAGTACCCAATGCACCCCACCCTACGGTAGTTCGTATCGCTGGAGGGCTCTCGGCACATCCTCATGATATCGTCGAGGCTGAGGTTCGCAAGTATGAGAAGCTGTGGCATGCTAGCCAGGTTCCGAGCCAAGCCTGTACGCCCGACAGGACGGCAATGGACAGGGCCAGCGCGGACGTCATCCGCGATGTGGCCAACAGCTTTCCGCGCACCACCACAGCCAGTATTGATCGAGTGCATCCTCGTCACCTTGGGCTACTTCCTCGCGCTGCGCTCGACGCCGCGGCAGCGCTCTTCGAGGCGTGCGGACGGATTGGTCTATTGCCTCGCCAGTTATGTTTCATTGTCATGCCCGTGCTAGCTAAGCCTGACCAGGGCCACCGTCTGATAATAATGTACTCGGGCATTTACCGTGTCTGGCAGAGACTTCGGCGCCGTGACTTCGATGGCCTTCACCAGCAGCTGCGCCGCCCGTACTGGGGCGCCCTGGCAGGCCGTAGTGCACTCGATCTGTCTTGGTTGCAGGCTGCGAGCAGTGAGGCTGAGGTCAGCCAGAACAATTATAGCCTTCTGATTTTGGACTACAGCAAGTTCTACGGGGGCATCCCGCTGGAAGTGTTACGTTGTCGCCTCCTTGCCTGCGGCATGCCCATGCCGATTCTCAAGTTAATTTTCAACACGTGGCAGTCACCACGCATCATTCGCCTGGGCCTGCACCACAGCAGCACAGTCTTGGTCGCCACGTTCGGGCTACCAGCAGGCTGTGCATTTGCTGATTTTGCGTTTCGAGCCTTCACGATCACAGAGTACGACCAGTTTGTGCGCCGCAACCCGTCGATCGATTTCATGAGCTACATCGACGACACTGGGGTCCACGTGCGCGGCCGTGACCGAGACATCGTCGCAGGCGTTGCGATCCAAGCGGGTGTGCAGTTCCAAGCAGTTGCCCGACGACTTCAGGCCACTCTCAATGATAAGGTCGCCGTCGTGGCCAGTGATAGTGCCCTTGGCATGGAGGTGGCCACAACGCTCGGCCCCGCCAAAGATAGGTCCAAACCAGCGGTCACCTACCTTGGCACGGATTTCGCCTGCGGACGGCGACGGGGACAAGCCCGCACCGTTGGCAAGAGGAAGTGCGTTTGCGGAAGTCCTCCCAGCGCCTGGCCAAGGCGGCCAAGCTCAAGTCCATGAGGAAAGCCGATGAGAGGCTTGGAAGAGTTTACACCACTGGAATCAAGATGGCAGCTCACTATGGGGTCGAGGTCAATGGCGTCGACGACCAGGAGCTGCTCGCCATCCGTCGCCAGGCCATGTCCTACCTGGCGCCTGCGACGAGGGGCGCGAGCTTGCGCGCCAAGCTGGCCTTGCACGGCGAGCCCGCGGTGCGTGAGGCCATGGCACCCGCGTTCCAGTGGTCCAAGATGATATGGCATGCTGTGGCATTTCCGTCTGATGCACTCGTAGGCCTTACTGAATTAGTTCGTATGTGGGACCGCGTTTTTTCCCCGGATCAGTCGGATCTTTCCTGGGCTCAAACCCGCGGCCCGGTCTCCAGGATCCCGCTTTGCCTTGCTCGCGTAAGGTGGAGGCCTGCTTCAGCCACTGAGTGGGTCAACCAGGATGGCATCACCACCTAGCTCACGCAACGTTCTCCTGCGATGCTAGGAAAAATGTCCAGCACCGCGTTCCAGACCGCCCATGAGAAGTCGCTTGGGGAGAAGTGGGGGTTTGCTGAAGGAGTTAGGGCCAACCTGGACGTGGTTAGGTTTTGCCTCAGGTCCAAGGCTAAGTATAACACGTACCAGAAATATTTAGTTCAAGCTGCTGTCTGCGACTGTTTGTGGACGGAACAGCTTGCACATGACAATGGTTATGACACCCTCCGAGCTGGCCGATGTGAATGCGGTGAGCCTGACACCACCCACCATCGGCTTTTTTGCTGCCAGCTCCCAGCTGTTGCCCAGGCCCGCGAGGAGGCAGAAGTTCCTTCGACTTTCCTGGACGAAGCGCGGGAGGACCCTGGAAGCCTACTCCATTTGAAAGGTGTCGTCTCGGTGCTCCCAGGGGATATCCCTCCTGTCAAAGGGGCCCCCGAGGCCATGGTCCTGGACGGTTTAGGTGAGGTTTTTCCCGATCTGGAGCCCGAGAATTCTGTGCAATTCGTCGGCCATAGCGATAACCTACACATCGCGGTGGACGGAAGCAGCACAATGCAGATTTTGTCATGTTTTCAGCGTGCTGCGTATGCGGTCGTACTGTTTGACCCCCAGGCCGAGGCTACCCTTTCGGTAGTGCGCGGCACTGTGCCTGGAGGTTTTCCGCAGTCCCCAGCGATGGCTGAAAATTTCTCGATTGCTGTTGCTTGCCAGATCGCTGATCGTCGCTCCTACATGCATGCCGATTGTAAAGCAGCAGTAAGTCAGGCCCTCCTTCCCGAGCACGAACAGCTTCGTGCGAGTAAGGTTTTCGCTGGCGTCTCGGCCTTCGCCCGCTCCCTCAGTGGGCACGGCCGCATCAGGTCCATCCAGCATGTGAAAGCGCATCGAAGCGAGGGCGTGATAGATAACTTGCCGCTCGTGGAGCGGGCGCCTGCGAAAGGCAACCGCGCTGCCGACCTCCACGCCAAGGAGGCTCGCAAGATGCACGCTCCAATCGGACCCGAGGCAGCCTATCGCCTTGAGTCTGAAGTAGAGACCGCCAGGTATTTTGTCAAGCTTGCAGCTAGCGTGCTACCAGCCTTCCAGTCCCGAGCGAAGCGCGTCAGGCCCTTTGCCCGTCACCGTTCTGTCAAGTCCGCCCCTGGGTGGCATGAGTGGGAGAGTGGACTGCTTGGTTTGCAGTGCAAGCATTGTCTGGTGGTCGCCCATGAGGGTACCCCCCAAGAGGCTCTGGGTTGCTCTGGGGCCCCCGAGTTCGTTCGTCAGGTCGTCCGCCGTTCCCTGGGGCACCTGGTTGTTGGCATGGCCTCTCACGAGATCCACCCCAGAGCCCCAGAGCCATCGCAAGCCAAGATGAATCGGCTTCAGTTTTTGTGTGTTCGTTGCGGCTGCTGGGCCCAGAGGTGCTC